GAGTTTCAAAAAAAAAAAAAAAAAAAAAAACAGTCTCATTGTCCAAAAGAAGTTTACTACAGTTTCAATATGAGCTGTATTGTTTCATATATTTATTTATTATTATTTTGATATTATGTATTAATATTAGGTTAATGCTTGTCGAAAATACAACATTGGTCATTTTCCCTAATGAACATACTGTATAATTTAATTTAACGCAACAAAATGATTACTCACGAGTCACGCACGCCCTTAGTTTTTTTCATTCTGATATAAATGATAAAATATCTAACTGCTATACAAAGGATTCTTCTTCCTATTGTCATTGAGGCCTTTATTTTTGAAGTGTGAAATGTTTGAGATGTTGGTTCTTGCTAGGCAATGTTTCTTCATTTCTCGACGCAAAAGAAACACCAGAATCCAAAAACTTTCCTTTTGTGGAAACTGTCCCTCGGTATCGTTAATTTTTATTTAAGTAGATTCCCTCGTGATAAAACACACGAATAATCTGATAATATAAATAGCATGTTCACTCTAAACAGCTGTTTAAAGTTTAAAAGGGTATCTAAATTTTTGTTTCTTGCTTCTCAAGATAGTCCGTCCAAGTAACTTTTTATGCAAGTCTTCAACGTATGTCTCAAAAAAAAAAAAAAATAATATTTTACTATGTATTCTTCAGCTAAATCCATCTCACCTTGTTGTTGTTATGTTGTAGGATGAGATCACAAGCCCTCTCACTGCACAAATCGTCGATTTCTGTGATCCACAGCTCTTTCAAGAGACCTTTAATCAAACTTCTGAAGTGACCTCTGCTTCAAATTGTTGTGGCTATGTCGAAAACAACGTCAACAACAATGGTCTGAATCAAAACCATGAAGACAACAACAATAATAACGACAACGGGGACTTATCAATCATATTTGATTCACAAGACGATTTCGATAACGATATCACAGCTTCCATCGATTTCTCTTCCTCAATTCAGTTTCCAGCGTCTGATCAACTCCAAGACCAGTTTGATTTCACCGGAGTTCAACTTCATCAGCCTCCCAACATCCTCTACTCTTCATCTTCTTGTGATCCTCTACCTCCATCTTTATCGGTTTTTGAAGATGATTGTCTTTCTTCTGTTCCAAGTTACAATCTTGGCTCTCTAAACCCTACTTCACCTTCTTGCTCTTTCTTGGGAAATCCCGGTTTACCAGCTTACATGTCCGTAACCGGAAATAATCATATGATGAACACCGGTTTAGCCATTGAGCGATCTGGTTTTTACTCCGGTAGTCTCCATTTTGGTACTGATTTTAAACCATCACATGATCAATTGATGGAGATCCACGCTGATACTAGTGGAATGTTCTTCCCGGATACGATTAAACCCATCTTCAATCCAGAAAATCATCATCTCCAGGTATAAATTCCAGTATAAATTTAAAATGAAACCGGTATGATAATTTGGTTAAATATCTGCACCCGGTATTTACCGGTTTTGCTTCTTTTCTGTTAGACACTTGAAGGTGGAGAAAACCAGAACCACCTTGTGGCAACACCGGTTCTTCCACAATTAGGAACAGATATAACCGGTTTAGACGACGGGAGTGTCAACAAAGTAGCTAAACTTACTGCTGAGCAGAGGAAAGAGAAGATTCATAGGTACATGAAGAAGAGAAACGAGAGGAACTTTAGCAAGAAAATTAAGGTACCTATGCTAAATCATTATAAGTATTTATAACCATATTAAACCATTGGTATCAATATACCGATTTGTTTTTAATAAAGTTTTGTTTAAACAGTATGCATGTAGGAAGACATTGGCAGATAGTCGTCCAAGAGTTAGAGGAAGATTTGCAAAGAACGATGAATTGTGTGAACCAAATAGACATGGTTCTTCAAGCCATCACGAAGAAGACGATGATGATGTAAGATTATTTTGGTTTTATTTCAATTAAAAACCATATGAATGTTAGTTTTTGATATGATAAACATTTTAAACCGGTTTGGTTTGCAGGTGGGGGTCAAGGAAGAAGAACAGTTGGTTGATTCTTCGGACATATTTTCACACATAAGTGGTGTCAACTCTTTCAAGTGCAATTATCCAATCCAGTCTTGGATTTGAGTCTGATTGCATGGTCAAATAATCACAAAATAGTATTTTTATAGAGGTTTATTTGTGTGTTTATTAGTACATTTTTTTAGCCATGACTCATATTTTATCTGGAAATATTTAGAACATAAGAAAAGAGAGATGAATAATGGGTTTAGGCAGGTCATAATAAATAAAACTGTAGTGAAGAGAGAGAGAGGGTTTGTTATTATGTTACATAGAACATTACAAAGTTTTGTAGATATATTATATATGATGTCTATTGTACTTAATGGGTGTTGTATAAAAACAGTCATTTGAATATCATTTGTAAGTCTTAAACTTATAAGATTGAGCTGTTCTTGCTATGAGCAGTAGCAACAACCAAACTTTATAGATAGCAAGGAACTGAAGTTCTTGAAGAAACCTTGTTGTCCAAACTGAAAGTGGAAGTTCAAGGTTTTATTATAGCAAGGAAACTGGGTCTGTGGAGGATGGATGGGACTTGTGTTACTCTTTAACCAGGAAACAACATTCAAGATTTGGTAATAACGTTTCTTCTACTTGTATGCATATAAAACTAAATTCTGATTGAATTCCAAGTTAATTTCCAGTGTTACTGAGAAGAAAACGTGAAATGATTGGACCAAGGATTGTGATTTTATACTAGTACGTTACCTAGACACTAAGAAAAGTATGAGTAACCAAAATGAAATAAATGTCGCACATAATGTCAGAAAATTGAAAATACCATCTACCAAAATCCTCCAATTTGTTTTTGAGATATTTAGAACTCAAACAAGATTAAGCAAGATAACCCAAACACAGGGCAACAAAGACACACTAGTGAACCGTTGGTGTTATAATCATTAGACAATGGCATTGGCAGCACTAGCAATTCTTGGCCAGAGATCAGCGCACTCTTTCCCAATGGGACCAGTGATCGCAGAACCTTTCATCTCTCCCTTGGGGTTAACAATAACTCCAGCATTATCTGTGCAATGAATAAACAAATCACCAAATCAGTACTTGTTTACATACAGTTTACAAAGACAAAATGATCAAGTAGTGAGTGTTAATGTAGAGTCCATATGGAGCAGAAGCAAGCGTTAAAGCAATAAAGCATCTGTAACGAAAGACACAAATTAAGTTTTACCAGACATGTAACCGTATCAACACCCTCTAAACGTGTCGGTGTATACTTGACTTAAGCCTGGACAATGTATGAATCTTAAAAACCAACCAAATGGAATCTAAATTACCATCAAATCTAGTCACTAACTATTCATAATTAACATGACACACTTTAACTTTCAAACATGTCGGAAGGTACATGACTTAAGTCTTGTCTGATAACGAATTTACTTAATGTTTTAAAAGAAAGTGAATTTTACCTTCGAAGTACATGAAGACACCATCCTTTCGGCGCCAAGGCTTCCTCTGCCTAACGATGACAGCAGGCATAACCTTTTTACGGAGATCAGGCTTTCCCTTCTTCACTGTGGCCATCACCATGTCTCCGACGCAAGCAGAAGGTAATCGGTTAAGACGACCCTTGATCCCTTTCACCGAAATGATGTAAAGGTTCTTGGCACCTGTGTTGTCTGCACAGTTCACCGTCGCCGCCACGGGAAGACCCAGCGACATCCTGAACTTGTTACCAGACGTTCCTCCACGTCCTAATCACGAGATAAAAAAAAGAAGCAATCTCATTATAGAAATGTATAAGCACAAGGATACATTCAACGACGGAGGAGAGTAGTACGAACCTCGTTTCGACATTTTTGACGGCTTGAGCAGAGACCTGGTGTAAGAATATTAGGGTTTGCGTCTCTATATAGTGATAGTGTTAGACTGTTAGGGCTTTTTCTCACTCGGCTTGAGTGGAAGAAGATAACAGCTTCTGTTTTAAAGCCCAAGTATTAAAGTTTCCAGGCCCATTTAAGCTCACGAATATTTACTTTCACTGTGAAATGAATAAACGTCCCACATCGAGCAGCTGGCAGTAACGAGTTGGCAAAAGTTGTGTCATAAATAAAGGTCTCACTCCGATGAAGCAAATCACGCAGCCATGTGGTGAGCACAAAGCGAACTATTCTTTCGCCTTTTACTAAAGAATACCGTGTGCTCTCCACTCTTAAGTGGCATAATCCTATTTTTGGAGGGTTTCCACTTATATTGTGGATCCCAACAACTATTTAATCAAAAGATTGTTTAAAGTTCTTATTGTTAGGGTTTATGTTCACAGGAATGGTAGTTAGAGCATGATTATTGCAAAAACTCATATTAGTGGTCCTTATTTTTTTTAATGGTTTTAATCGCTGGGGACCACTCCCGCCTTCTGCCATAGATGAGTCCGCTTCAACTCTCTCTCTCTCTTTTCAACGAGATGAACGCCCAAAGTATAACACGTGTCTTAAGACACGTCTTTTATGTCCCTTAAATAAACGACGTTCCTTCTTATTTAACCCAATTTTCATTTATTTTCAGTGCTAATAATATTAAGAGACGGACGTAAGCGACCGCGTTAAACATGGTCTTATACTATTGTTTAGATACTAGTGAAACGGTTATTCAAATTGGTTTATGAGGCGAAGTTTTTGGTACATCACCATTTTGTTATGTCTTACTCTATTCACTAGTCTTTATGGATTTTCTTATCACAATATGTCTTCCTCAATAGTTAAATATGCTACAAATATATCCATAATGTTTATTAGTCCATCTCTAACAGCCCCAAACTACTAAGAAAATTCAAACGTGCGTTTTTTCCCCTAGCTTTGATCTTTCTTCAATGATCATTCTTTCGACCAGAATTGCAACAACTATAATCACTCTGGTGATGAATAATTGTCATTGTGAAACAGTCATGTTTTTCTCTACGGAACATTGAAGAAATACAAAACTAATCACAGCAACATGATGTGACCAAAACTATTCTATGTTTTGGTCTTTATCACTGGTATTATTATTATCATTACATGTAGCGTCTGATTGAGCAGTAGACTTCTCGGGTCTTGCTTTGGTCTTCTTCATGGACACCTCTCCTCCTCCTGATCCTTTCACCTTCCTATGACGCGACGAAGACTTTCTTTGAGAAGCAGAACTGTCCGAAAGATGGTTAGAACCTTCCTCGTCGTTAACCGCGATAACACGCCTTCTCCTGAGCGATGGATCGTTAGATGAGTCTAAAGACGCGTGCCTGCTTCTGTGGTGACGTCTCGAGGGTCTTGGTATCATTTCCGATGGTAACACGTTGCTGTTTCTCCTAGGAGGAGAACCGTTTTGTGACTCGGATTTGCGCCTACTCTTCCTGTGTTTTGGTTTCTCAGAGGGAGGCAACAACTCTTGTAACCCAACTCCTTCTCCTATTGCATTGTTGTTGGAATCTCTTCGAGATACTACTTGACCATTCTCATTTTCTTGAGGTTTGAAGTCACTCATCTACAAAATATTTTAAAAAATCTATGATAAGTACTCACTCATACGTATATGGGGGAAAAATAGGTAAAACAATGTTATAAAAATCTGCGCAAATTGGTTATAAACTAAACAATTTTTGTAAAACATTTAAAAAAAAAACGGTATAGGTGACACCACCCAAGTGTTTTAATTACAGTCTAGCGATTTATTTAACATGTTGAGTATACTTATACATGAGAAATACGTAGAAATGTAGAAACCGTACCCAGCTTGGTGCATTGGCTGCAGGTCCATCGGATCCTATGTGGGCGACATGTTTTACATCGGTGGGAAACCCAATCTGAATATCACGGTCTTTACCTTCCTCTGCAGTTATATTTTTTATCATACACAAGACTGACTTGTATTACAAGAAACGTAAAATGTTTCGTTATAACGAAGAATTGTGTTACGAGAATTGATGATACTTACCGAAAATCTGAGTGATGTTGCGAAGGCCTTTAAAAAATCCTTTCACGCCCGTCGTCATCTCCGGAGGAATGGATTTGGTTATAAGTTAGAAGCTGCAACTCTGTGAATGCGCCAAGCCCTAACGTGTAGAGAAAACAAATATAACAAATCAACGTTCTGTTATTCAAGGAGTCTTAAGAGATTAAGAGAATCTGCAAAAGTAACATTTAAAATGTTCGTACTTTAAGATATCAGAAAAATGTAAACCTTCATCGCATTGATTTTAATTTTCTCTTAACAGAGAGAACTGGAAAGAGGGAGAGATCTAGAGAGACTCAATATTAGGTTTCAGACAAATTGTTGGTTGAGAATAACAGGGAGAGCACTGGATTTTCTATTTACCTTAAACAAGACAGAAAAAAATATATTTTCAAGGTTTTTATTTTTACTTTTTATATATATGTTTATAAATAGATTTCTTTCTATTTAATGGATGCAACGTAGAGTTAGGATTTGTTTTCCTCAATTCAGAATTTGATGAATTTATTGATGTTTGGTCTAAGATTGAAAGAAATGGTTCAGTACCATCTTCATTTTTGTGGGAAATAATACTTGTCGATAAAATGACTTGTGAATGTAGTATATGGAGATTTGGTATATACTTGAAAAATATGGAGACTATAAAATTGGATATGAAGTATAAAATGGATTTGGTATCTTATCTTTAAGATAAGATACAACAAGTCAAAACTTTTTTAATGTTGGCCTAGACAATAATAAGCCTGGTCAATATATATATCTACTAATAATAAGAATCCCAATTAATTCCAAAGGTTGTGACTTCCTTTTAAGTTGAAAGGTTGTGTTTTTATTTTAATTTTTTTAATTTATTTCCAAACAATGTGTCCATTCAAAAAATAACAATTTTCATTAATTCCAACGATTTTGAATCTTCATTTGTATTTTTTTTTAAATAACAATTTTCATTAATTCCAAAGGTTGTGAATCTTCATTAATTTGAAAGGTTGTATCTATATTTTAAATGTTGAAACAATGTGTCCATTTTAGAATTAGTTAAAAGTAATATTTTAACATTTTTGTTTTTGATAAGTTAGTTATAAAACATTGTGAAAGAGGTTTTTTAAAATATGGTTGTGAGGTTGTAACTTATATATGTTCTGAAACAATGCCTCTTTTCATAAGTTAGTTAAAAAGTATTGTAAAATTGTTATTTTCATAAGTTAGTTAAAAAGTGTTGTAAAATTGGTTTTGTTTAATATAGTTGAAAGGTTGTAAGTAATATGTGTTTAAAATATATATGTTTTGAAACAATGCATCTTTTGAATAGTTAGTTATTAAATATTGTAAAAAAAAATTTTCTGAAAGGTTGTGAATCCTCATTTTTCTGAAAAGTAATCCCAAACAATTTTTTTTTTTTTGATAAGTTAGTTATAAAACATTGTGAAAGAGGTTTTTTTAAATATGGTTGTGAGGTTGTAACTTATATATGTTCTGAAACAATGCCTCTTTTCATAAGTTAGTTAAAATGTATGGTAAAATTGTTATTTTCATAAGTTAGTTAAATACAAAATTACAATATATTAAAAGTATAACCATTTTCTATTTATTTTAGTGTTTAATATATATATATATATATGTTTTGAAACAATGCATCTTTTGAATAGTTAGTTATTAAATATTGTAAATGTTTTTTTTCTGAAAGGTTGTGAATCCTCATTTTTTTTAAAAGTAATCCCAATTAATTCAAAGGTTGTGACTTCCTTTTAAGTTGAAAGGTTGTGTTTTTATTTTAATTTTTTTAATTTATTTCCAAACAATGTGTCCATTCAAAACATAACAATTTTCATTAATTCCAAAGGTTGTGAATCTTCATTTGTATTTATATTTTTTTAAAAATAAAAATTATCATTAATTCCAAAGGTTGTGAATCTTCATTAATTTGAAAGGTTGTATCTATATTTTAAATGTTGAAACAATGTGTCCATTTTAGAATTTGTTAAAAGTAATATTTTGACAATTTTTTTTTTGATAAGTTAGTTATAAAACATTGTGAAAGAGGTTTTTTTAAATATGGTTGTGAGGTTGTAACTTATATATGTTCTGAAACAATGCCTCTTTTCATAAGTTAGTTAAAAAGTATTGTAAAATTGGTTTTGTTTAATATGGTTGTAAGGTTGTAAGTAATATGTGTTTAAAATATATATATATATGTTTTGAAACAATGCATCTTTTGAATAGTTAGTTATTAAATATTGTAAATGTTTTTTTTCTGAAAGGTTGTGAATCCTCATTTTTTTGAAAAGTAATCCTCATTAATTCTGAAGGTTGTGACTTACTTTTAAGTTGAAAGGTTGTGTTTTTATTTTTATTTTTTTTTAATTTATTTCCAAACAATGTGTCCATTCAAAAAATAACAATTTTCATAACATGGATTTCACCACCAGAGTTATTGATATTTTCAAAGAAATCGTAGACATACACTATATAGATAAACTAAAAGCATTATTTCAAAAGCTACAACCTTTCAAATTAAAGTCGGTTTTCTTAAATGAAAAGGCACAACTTTCTACTAATACATCTTTTCAATATATATATATATATATATATATATATATTCTTGAATACACACATATATATTTTTTGAATAGACACATCTTTATAAATTAATTAATTTTTCAACAGACACATTGTTTCAATCTAGTAAAAATATTACTTCTTTTTAAAATAAACACATTCTTTCAAATAAACTAATTTTTGAAAGGACACATTGTTTCAAAATAATATTACAAAACTTAAATTAAAAACAAAACATTTCAATTAAATGGAAATTCACAACCTTTGGTTAAATAAACTAATTTTTGAAAAAATCACATTGTTTCAAAATAAATTAATATTTTAATTTAAAAACAAAACCTTTCAATTTAATAGGGATTCACAACCTTTGGAATTAATTGGGATTGTTATTCTAACCTATTATAACTTATAGGATAATTGAAAAAAAAAACATAGAGTTGTCTTGTCTCCTCTGTTATTAATTTCACTGATCATAAAGTTAAAACTAACGCACACAACCATATTTTCCCAAAGAAAATCCTATATCCACATATGAATGCTCTCAGTTTTTTTTTCCAGATTCACACATGAAGGATTATATTCAGAAATTTTCTGACAGAAACCACTGTCGGTTTTACTTCAAATGGCGTCACATAACTCTTTCATTAACAAAGTTTAAATGGTGAGAATGTTAATGGAAAACGGCAATGATAATTGAATGGGCAATGATAATTGAATGGCCGATGATCGAAGATAAAATTTGGTTTCATCAGAAAAATTGAATCAGGAATCTAGAAAATTTGGAAAAAGAAACAAATTGATTATCAAATATATAAACTGAGTAAGGGATGCGAACCAGGAGTCGCGACTCAATTCACGAACGAACACAATGCTTCATTGTGATACCGACACAATGTTCACTATTATACCGACACAAAGCTTCGATGCGCTAAAGATGACATCACCTAAGAAAAACAGAACCCTTGGATCAATGGATCAAATACCAAATTAATCTGATCCTTTAGATCATCATTTTATTTTTCTATAAAAAAAGCTGAGGTCAACGGAAACAAAATTTAGGTTTGCTATTATATAGAAAACGAAAAAGAAAAAATAAATAACAAAAAAAATTGTTTCATACACATGCATATTATACATAGAGAATTTTGTACATGCATGCGTCCACTTTTCATCACCTTCCCCAAACACTCTTTGATCATGTCATACATCGAGCATTACATCTTCTGTGTATAAAATTTTAAAGGTGCAAGTGCTAAGGTATGCAACGTTTAAAAAATTACACGGTTAGAAATGAATAGGTGTATATTCGCAGAAAATAGTTTTACAACATAGAGTAGATAAGGTAGAAACCATAAAGTCAATGAACCCTTCGAGTAACTGGGCATCCATTGATTTTATAGAGATCACAAATCTATTTAAAAGTTGTGTTTGTTCGATAAAATGAAAAAAAAGGTTGTGTCTCTTTTTGATAAAAGTTGTATTTGTTCATTATGGTGTTTTTTTATTAAAGGTCGTGTCTCTTACTTGTTAAAGTTTGTGTCTCTTATTTGTTTTAATCCCAAATTAATTCCAAAGTTTATTAATAGATAAATAAATATATTTTTAAAAAAATAGAAAGGTTGTGAAGGTTATGAATGCAAGATTATTAATAGATATACATTTAAAGGATATTAAAATTATCTATATAATACTCAGATAATTTAATTTTTTGGATAATTTAAATATTTTATAGTGTATATCTATAAACTATTGCAACTATTGGTGGTTGTAACCTTTAAAAATGAACTATTGCAATTATGATAAACCATTGCAAGGATCCATAATGGTAAACTTTGGTGATGAACCATTGTAATGTTTCCGGTTAACAATTATATTTTTTACTAACCATTGTAATGTTTGGTAATCATTGTAACCTTTTAACTCAATATAAAGAGTTGTTGAATTGTGTGTATTAGCAAATCAGAATCAAAATAAATAAAAGTAGCAATAAAGAGAAAGATCCACTTTTCAATTGATCATCAAATTTAAAATGCAACAGAAACATTTTAAATTTAACATGTTTTATATATAGTATTTAATTTAAATTATAATCAGAAATATATTTTTTGTGAAGAGACTATATTTAATTTTATTTTGTAGAATTTAACCTATAAATTAAAAATATTTACATAAAACCTTTTAATTTATTTTTATGTGGAGTTACTTACAATCAGAAATATATCATCTCCCTCACAAAAAAAAATTTGTCTGTTATTTTAACTCATTCAGAATTTCATAGATTTTTTTTTACCGGATCCTGATTCAAAATATGTTTTCATCTAAACCCCGATATCACTCATACGAAAAAAAAAAATCTACCGGTAATTGGATTTCATAATTCATTCACATGTTTTGTTGGTTTAAGTGACAAAAAAACAACGCATGAATCGTGTTGTTGGTTGAAGTTACAAAACGAACGCAGTCATTAACATTAAAGATGCATGCATGAAAGTGTTCTTCTCTTTGCATATTCTAAAATTTGATCGATATGTATGTTTACTCATAAAAGGTTGAGTGTCTGTCTCTGGAATAGGTTTAGAAAAGCACACATCTTTCTTTTGTGGGAAGTGTGATGTAAAGTCACCAATTGAGAATTGTAAAAGTAAGCGTTCATTATTGCACAGGATTTACAATACCTGTTTTTTTTTCTAATTCTTACGGTTACTACAAATGTTTAGTTACGCAAAGTTATAATGATTCGATAGTAAAGGTTCATAGAACTAAGACGGATTTTGTTAATTCATGATGCATGTGCATGATGTTTACATTTTGCATCATAGGATAAAGTCTGGTTGTTAAAATTTACAAGAAACAAATTTTCACCACTAAAATAGTCGCACCTTTTGGTTAAAATTTTCTGTAATTTTATTTATGCATATGAATGAATTTTTTTTTTTTTTTTGCGAGTAATGTATGCATAAAAAATGAATGCTAAATTTTGGAACTTTTTCAAAAAAAAAATTACTAGATAGGTTATTTGTGAAAGGTCATAATTGATGATGCTAAAAGGTGCCATGAAAAGTGGAGAAGATAGATTTTTCAGTATAATTTATTTTAGTTTTTAATAAAAAAACAATGCAATCTTAGGTGATAAACCATTGCAGTTTCTAGTAACTAAACATTATAAAAGGTTGTGAACTCCTATTAAGGTTAAAGGTTGTATCTATTCAATAACTTAATGGGCTGAATAAATATACTTTGTAAACTTATCATCTAAAATAACTACTTATAAATTGAAAAGATGTGACTATTCATGTATGTTTATTGAAATGATGTGTCTATTCAAAATATATTGTAAAGATTTTATTTTAAAATAATTATTTATAAATTGAAAAGATGTGACTATTCATATAAATCTTTTAAAATCTATAAATAGTCTATGTCTATAAGTTTCTCAAAGTTATACTTTCAATAACCTAGAATGACGAAGAAAAAAGGTTACAGTTACATTTACATGGTTACAAATTTTTAGAAGATACAGTATTTATGGTTTGGATCAATTTAGAAAAAAAAGAACTTCTTTGTCTCTGACAAAAGAACTCCAAACCAACGGACACCAAAGTTTTTTCATCGCATTTTGCTTTTTCCGGTGGTTCTTCTTTTTCTTTTTCTTTTGTTAATTGTTTACTACATCAAAAATCTTCCTATTGATGTTTTATTTATTATCAATTTCAATTTTGGGTGAAATATTTCATCGATGTCTGATGTCTCTTTACGTTAAGTTACGTTACGTTATGTTACTGTTGCTCCTGATATCGCTGGCTGCTTCCTTTGTTTGCGATTTTGGTTGTTCATGCATCTCTATTTTGGGTTAACAATGGATGCTTGGGTAAAAACATAAAAGCTTCTACATCGGCTTCCGTATGCTCACGGTGTTTTCTTCCTTTGGAAGAAAGACTTTCCGGCAAATGCACGTCACTATTGGCGTTGTAATATTACTGGCTTCTTTTCCGGTGCTGTCTTTTTCCAGTGATTGTCATCCCACAGTCAACTTGATGGGTGGTGTTTTTCATTTTCTTCACCAGAAAGAGTGTAAATTTTAAACATTGACCGTGGAGTACGAGTCTGATAGTGATGCCTCTTTCTTTGTCTCTTAAAGTGTCTCATGGATTTCAAGATCAGTGGTGGATATATGTGTCTGTATTTACGGTATGTTCACTAATTCAGAAATGGTTTCTGATAAGGAAAAAAATTACCAAGACAAAGCAAAAGAAGAATCGTTTGCATGGAGATATGATCACACTTTAATAGGAATAAAAGAAAGGAGAGAGGGCATTGATGATGTTATGGGAATGATAGCATTAAGATGTTATTTGGGATTACGCTAAAGTCTATTCTATTTGCAATGACACTGATACGGACTAATTGATATCAGATTGCCATAGTTCCAAGACTAGTACCAGCCATGATGGGGTTTACTGATGTGGTTATGAAACAGCCTCAAGATAAAGTTTTGAACCATGTACCTATTGAAAATTGTTGAGAAAAATATTAAATTGTCTTTTCATCTTATATATTTGAAATCTTAGTTAATGTGAAAGTTGTATTTTTCCCAATATGTAACTATTACAAATGGTTGTGTAAAAATTTTTAATAATAATATTATAAAGCATAATATATATATATATATATATATATATATATATATATGAAAAGACATAACCAATATATGAAAATTTTAAGCTCAAAAAACTAATATATACAATTTTGCATGTAAAAAACTTAAGAGCTGAAACTTTTTACATTACGGCACTGATTTAGATATATATAATTGCAAATATTTATGTGAAGTACTAATAAATTTATATATGAGCAAATTAGTTAGAGTGCCAATGAAAATATGATTTATAATATTTATATGATTTGTTTTAAAAAAATTTTAAAACACCATATATATATACATTATATATATATATATAATTTTTCCTTATAATTTTTTTATGACTGTTTTTTATATATTTTTGTTCATTATTGTTCAAGGTATCTTTTTATTTATAACTTATTTCATTTTTTAAAAATTGTATAGAGAGATAGTGTCTTTTCATAAAATAACAGAGATTAATTTTGTTTTTTCAACATGTAACTATAAGAATTTTTTAAATTTAGGTACTGACAACTCACATCAATCACAAATAGACTAAAAAATGGAGAGAATCTTAAAAGAATTTCCAATATCTTAGATGAAAAAATATAAACTTATGAAAATTTTATTTGTTATTTTTGTATCTTTGCTTAAATTTAGAAATTTTGAAAAACTGATAGAATTCCAGAGTATTTAAATCTCAATACCACCTTATCAAAAATTATGTTTAAGGATTCAATAAAAATCATTAATAATTTAAAAATATAAATCTATAATTTATCAGTTTAGTTGATTTTATTTAATGATTGTGTTAATCTAATCAGTTTTGGTGTTTTACAAGAATTATTGGGAAATTCAAGATAATATTATAAATGACAAGGATTATGTCAATAAAGTCAACATATATTTCATATTACATCTAATGAGTCATATTTTTTTATAAAATGAGCTCCCGTGCGATATCGCACGGGTTATTTTCCTAGTATATATATATATAAACTTAGTAATGTTTTAACAATATCCCAACACTTTCATTGGAAAATAATATTTTTGAATGTTTCCTTATGTAATTGATTTTATACTATTAGTAAACCCTTATTCAATCATCAATGTATAGTAATTAATCATTCCAACAACAACAATAAAAAATAAAATACGACAAACAAACCAACAACACTACAACATGAACATAATATTCTCTGCAAGAACCCTAATTTCCATGGAGAATCATATTTTGCTTGTTTTATACTCACTGAAGAGTCACAGCCTTAAAGTCAAGTCGATGGGACTCGATATGGCCCAGTCTTTCTCGGTTACAGTCTCCTGCGGTCCACGTTGCTCCAGCTGGCAAAGAAGCGGAAGCGTACGAGTACACTCCGATGACATCGCCGGAAAAAGATTCATCAGCTTCGGCTTCTCCTGCTGCATAAAGTTAGAATAGTTGGCTGGAGTGTTCGCTGGAAATCCTTTACAAAACCTCCGTTGTTCATCTATACGACCACTACGGTGATAATTCAAGTCGAAACGGTTCATCCCCGGCAAAGCAGGATAAGGGGCGCCCCGGCAATTAGGGTATGGGTAGTGGTGGCGGAAGGTGGTGGGAACATGATAATTGGAGTGAAAAGTGTTGTAATGTGAGATTAGGTCTTGAGGTGTAAAGAAAATTTGCTTACAAAGAGAACACTCTTGGGGGTTTGAAACATGCATGAGATGCTTTTTCATGCCAAATCCACCGTTCATTTCTCTGTAAATCTTTATATGTATATATTAATGAAGATGCAAGAGATTGAAACACATCTATTGAACTATTTATATACAAATTTATGTGTAAAAGTGTAGAGGTGCATGTATGATGCCAACACTATTGAGGAAAATATATTTCTATGTTTATTAATATTGTCTTGATTTGTTATGATATTGAAGATGATGAAGAATTTTAATTACATGTCAAGCATGCATTGACTGTATTCACATTCTTAGAAAAATATTTTCTATAGAAGAAAAAAATTTATGTATATAGATATGTCTAATCTTATAAAGAAGTCAACAGTGTAAGTAAAGTTGAATCAGTAGGATGTGTTCAATGCTAAATAAAATTTTATAGTAGTCAATGATTTCATTTTGTGAAAGATATTAATGGGAGGTTAATTAATGTTGGCAATGAATCCAGCACTTTTGGGAATTTTAAATTTGTTTCTGTTTTGTTTTCTTGTGTTGTTTATTTTCAGAAAATACATTTCTCAATTGTTCCTCTGTGTGATAATTTTCTTTTTGTAGAACCCTATATAGGGAAGTATTTAGTTATTTTGGAAAATATTAACAAATATGAATAATATGTTCCTCGTCTTTTACGTGGAAAATATTAACAAGGTATAAATGTTTTTCCAACTTATGCATATGATAAGTTCTTTTTCAAAAAAAAAACTTTTGCATATGATGAATATTAGCGAAAATGATAGAGATTGACCAAGTATGTATAACGAATTATACGACTATTTTGTACCAAACATATTAATAATAAAAATCCCAATTAATATTAAACATTGTGAATTCCATCTAAATAAAAGGTTATATTTTTCTATTGCAAAAAAAAAAAAATACCTAAGATATTTTTCTATAATGAAACAATTTTTCAAATAGTAATTCTATTTAAGTGTTAGTTATTTTTTAAAATAATTATTTTTTATATAATAAATGTATTTTTTGATGTGTCTATTCAAATATATAATGTAAGTGTGTCATTTAAAATAATTATATATAACTGGATAGTTGTGACTATTCATAAAAATAGCAAACTTCAGTTTGAATTTTGTGACTATTCACTACCTTTAAAAATTGTGAATATTCATAAAAATAATTAACTTTAATTTGAAAAATTATGACTATTCACTACTAATAATTTGAAAGTTATAACTATATTCATTAAAATAACTAACTCTAACTTAAAAAATTGTAATTGTTCATTAGTTTTTCCAAGTAAAAATTTCATTAATCTAAAAAAATAGCGAAGAATAAAAGTTCTTTATAAAATAGACTATATTTATCATTATCTTATTTTATGAATATATAATTCATGTCATAAAATTTCATACACTTAGATTATCTAAGAAAGTTTGATATTTTTTAAGGGTTAGCTCACATATTTCAAGATAAATTCAAAAATCTGTTATTTTGTTTTAATGAATTTTTGCATCATTAAATTACTCATTGGAAAATTATAACTGATGTTCATGTACCATGAGAATAAATTTAGGACGCTCAGTATAAAGTTTTAATGTGTTTAGATATTTTAAACAATACTAACGAGGCTAAACTTAGTATAAATAACATTTATTGAAAAAACTTGATTTTTTGTAGGAGTTAACTCACAGATTTTAAGATAAATTAGAAAATTATGAAATTTTTGTATTTATGCATAGCTGCATCCAACATTGATATAAAAGTAATATCAAAGAGTTTTGATCCGTGAGTTGTCCAAAATTCTATAGAAAATAGAGATTTCATAGCTGCACCGAACATTGATTTAGGAAAAGTATAATTTTATAAAAGATACAAATAATGAGAAAAAATGTATGTGTAATTTAACAAAAAAAACATGTTAGTGAAGAAAATCTTTTTAACTTTGCCATGTAGTCATATTTTGACTATAAATTTATTTTTACATGACTTCAAATAAATGATGAATGTCATATTCATCATTATCAATTTACCTTATTGGTTTAATAAATGATTAGGTTTAAATGTGTATGCTTCTTTTAATTAGTTTTAAATATACTAAATTGTATTTATAATTTCAAATAACTTATAAAATAATAATATATATATATATTTAAATTAGTATTGGCATATTATCTATTAGTATTTAAATTAGTATTGGCACATGTAATCTACATTGTAGACATGTTACAAAAACTTAGTTGAAACAAACAGTATTTTTATTAAATTATAAATAATATAAGTGAAAGAATTAAATAACATCAGAAGAACCATTCAAAGAGGATTTGTTTATAAAAAAACAATGATTAATTTTAGTATTTATATAATATTTCTTATGGGGTACAAATCAACTACCAAAATCAAAATAAAACTATAAGAAAACTTGTGGGAATAAAACAATTTATTTTCTTTTTCTCAGTCTGCTTATCATATGACCATCACTCAGCATCCCTAAGGCTTTCACTGGTGAGCCACAGTTTCTTCCGGACAATGAAAACGACATTGTTCTCACCATCTTCATTGTCCTGGTCGAGTTCTGAACCTGTAGTTACTTTCTCCGACGCCACAACCTCCCAATGCAGAGCCTTCATATACTTCTTGATCGACTCCACAACGCTCTCCTTATCTCTGATGATGATGAATCCTGTAGGTCTAAGAATCCTATCCATCTCAAGTAATAGATCCTCCGCACTGCATCCTTTGCTTCTAATGTCTGAAAAAACAGTCCATGCGTGCAAGAGATCGTATGTTCGCGGGTATGTAGAGAAAGCCTCACACCTAGATTCAATCAAAAACAGAAAAAAAAGAATGCTGAAAATGTGTAACTATTATTATTGTTAAAAAGGTTTAAGACTTTTGGGGTAGGTACCAGTTATGATTTGTCCCTATCAAACCACGGTCGTAGATCAGTTTAAGAGTGTTGGGACCGTAGGGAGAGACAACGTTCATAACCCAAACATCTTTGTCTTTAAGAGCAGCTGCAAAAGAACCCATGTGAGCTTTCATGTCCATTATGTTTCTCACAGTATTTGCTTTGATCTTTGACGACATTAGGTTCCAGTAACTGTCCACTTGCTGTTTCCATAGCTCCTGCAAACAAAAAAGAAGATATAACAAAACAATATGCTTAAAACTCTTTCTTTGTGTGCTCTATAAATCTATTAGAGTAAAAAGATCTTAGTACCGTGTCTTTCTCAAACATATGTGTTGAGTAACCAAAATCTGCAAGACGAGGAGGAGGAGAAGTCATCCTAGCTGGCCAAGGAGCTAACCCACTTCCCTTAGTTTTATGGTCATCTGTATTAACAAAAGAAACAGATTACAAAAGAAACGAACTAAGTATAAAAAACGAAAGTACTTACGCTTGGAGTAAGGAGTGATGCAAGCTTCCATCGAGACACCATAAACAGCATCAGGATCAGCGTCCGAGCGACAAAGAGGAGGCTGTGTCCCAGGCTCTCTCTCCAAGTAACAGTCATTACTCAACGGTTTCTGCCAAACAACAGTTTGGTTTCTTTTAGCAGCAATTCTCCAACACATTCTTTCAACAAGAGTACTCATCTCCTTCCATATCCTCAAACTATCTTCGTCTTGCGCGTAAGCTTCAGGAGAAGAATAAGCGAAGTAGCCACCAGGTCTTAGTACTCGGTCCAGCTCGAGAAGAAGGATACCGTCTCTTTGAAGCCAGTCGATTCTACACCGAGAGCAATGAGCTAGCTCGAATGATCTGCTTGGGTAAGGAAGTCTCTTGGTACCTAAAACACCGAGATAAGCAGGGATGCCTCTCTCTAATGCAAACTGGATTTGGTTTTGGTGAACGTCGTTAGGAGCTAATGACATTGCGATTATGTCAGATGAGAGAAGGTAAGCTCCGAAACTAGCAACTCCACAACCAACATCAAGAACCGTTCTTAGTCTTCCTTCGTCGTTTAATACATCGTTGGAAAAGTTAAGCATCTGCGAGTTAGAAACATCCATTAGATACAAGCTTACCATTCAAGTAACCAGAGCAAAACCAAAGGCTTACATTGGCGATGGATGCAATGTATTTATCAGCTCCATAATGGAAATGCGTGCCACCACCTGGAAAATTGATCTTATCGCCTTTAACAACCATCCAGTTCTGATCAGACTTCTCTTTAGCAAGATGTGTGTGAGGTATGTTCGCTTGCCACACTTCATCTCTGCTCTTAGGCCACTTAATAGGAACCTAAAAGAACAAAAAAACTATCAGGACAAAAGTACCAGAAACTGATCAAATCAAAAGCAAGAAGCAAGAAATAAGTGTAGTAACCTTGTAGCCAGCTGGGGGAGGAATCAAACAGTTAAACTTTCTTTCAGGAGGAGGACAATGACGTTCGTAATGTTCCATTAGAGATAGATCAAGCTTCAACCTCATTTGGTAGATGAAGTTCCTATCTAAGCAAGGGATGATCTCTGAGTGTCGATCATCACAAACCTTAAACATATATATATATACACCAAAAGTTAGCTTAGCATGAAGTATAAGTCTACAGTTTAGATTTGGATAAAACAAACTAACAGGAAAGCTTTTGGCCACAACAAGACTGTCTTCTTCATTGCTCACAGATCCATCCTGTTTGGTTTCACCATCATCATCTCCACCCAAATAAGAAGATCCGAGTTTTCTCAGTGATCTTCCATACTCCAAAGCTGATGCACCTTGGCTAGATGAACCATAGTACATATACAAGAAACAGAGGACTAAAGCCACAATGCAGAACGAAGCAATAAGCCGCTTCTTTTGGCCTCCATCAGATCTCCCTCTCATCATCAGTTTCCTCACAAAAGCTAGCAAAAGAGCTTTCTTTTGATCTCTGTCTATATGTGAGTTCCTCTGCATAGATAAAGAAAGAGAAGAATCATAAGACTTTAAACACAGTAAAAAAATGTGAGATTGATAGTAAGTGGCAACAAATTTTCAAAGTGATCAATCCATAAATGAATGGAATAAAAAAAAAAAACAGACTTGGAATGGAAGAAGATTCAGATCCGTGTTTTGTTTGGTCTGATTCAGAACCTAAAAGTTAAATGGGAAACCAAGTAACTTGTACTAGTGTTTAAAAATCTTAAATTTATTGGAGTAATAATCACCGACAAGTTTTGTTCTTCCTCTCAGACAAACAAAAAAACACTAAAATGTTGTAAGAACTAAAATGAACTAATAGATCTAGCAGTAGAGAGTAGTAGTAAGTAGCGTTTCCACTTTCTCGGTAATGAAAGTATCATTGAACATTCATTGACTGGAGAAAAGAGAGGAAAAGTTGGAAAAAACTCACAGAAGAACCAGAAGAGTCTGAGTCTGGTAAAACGAGAGATCCGAGAATGGGAGTGGTGACGAGTAACTTTATAGATTCAGATCTCTCACGATAGATAAGCCCTTTTTCACTCACTGGGCTAAAATGTTTTTTTTTTCCTATATTTGGTGGTGAGATAAGTACAGAGCTGCTTCCCTTGTACAGCTTTAAAGGTCGCTCTCTCTGTCTACACTGTCGACTTGCTGTTTAAATCTCTCTCTTTTATTTATTTATTTATTTATTTTGACAACTTGAATGTTACTTAATCAATCAATTGAGATCTCTGCAAGTAGATTCGGCATAATGCGTTTTCTTAAATTTCATCATTAAGAAGTTAACAACTACCCACAAATCGTGTTTAATATTTTATTTTTAAAAATCGAATTAATTCTTGCAGTTTTTGAGAAAATGACTGGACAAATAAGAAAAGAAAAACCAGTTGACTATTGGACAAGTCACAGTCTTATGTCCATTTTACACACGGAATAATATAAAATATGTAAATCCTTGAAACGCGTTTATACATTCACTGTGTCGGTGGTGATTACTGGTTACTGACTCATTGATCGGTGATTGTTTATTCAGTTCCCATTTAACTCATGTTATTCGGTTTATTATTTGATCAGCTATTTAAACAATAGATTATTAACGCTAGTTACCACTAGGAAATGTCGAAGCTTTGATATACAGATCTGGCTTTGTGCTGACGAGATCCAGATCCAACCTTTTAGTCCATAAAATATAAATAGTATGGAGAGGGAAATGACGTTCACGTGAGCTAGTCAGTCACAAACTCATAAAGAGAAGAAACCCTTTTCTCAAAAGAAAATGGTCTTTGTACCTTTGGAAGAAGAATAAAATTGACGTCAAAAACTTTCATGACGTTGTTTTACAATGTTTCTTAAGCATAGTTGGATCAAGAACAAACCTAGACGTTCCATGAATCCAGGGGAAAGATCTAGCCTTACATTTGCAAATTTTAGGCATGTAGCAGTGATTATAACCCAAGAACATTTATAATTAAGGACATGCTCATAAGCCCACATAGTATGGGCTCAAATATGGGCCTACCTTCCTCTTCAAGAAAACCCACTGGACTGGATTATATTATCCACTGAATATCCTTTTTTTTTTTCCAAATTTAAATCCTGTAAATCTAAGATAATGTATTACTTCGAGATAATACGATTAAATTAGACGACGTGGCATGACACTACACCTTCGATATCTCCCACCACCACCAATAAATAAAAAGCCAGACATAGTGAGCTCTCTCACTCACGGATTCAATCAAAAGCCTCTCCCAAATCTCAAAACACAGATCCATTTCCCAGGCGATAATCAACGATCTAAGATCAGATGGCGAAGGAACCAGTTCGTGTCCTCGTTACCGGTGCTGCAGGTAACGTTATGTTTTTTTCTCAGAATCCTGTAGTAGTATCGGATCTTCGGCTAGTCTAGCGAAACACACTGTAGTCAGATCTCCGCCTAGTCTTGGTTATGTTGTCCGTGTGCTTTATCGATCGATTAAACTAGACGTAGATTCTAGGTTTTGCTTGAATGAGATCTGAGTGTATGAGAGGATCCTTACTTTGGTAGGTTCAAAACATGACGAATAAACCGTGATTTTTGCTTACTGTTCCTCCGGTTTGGTACTGTTTTTGATAACATTCATGCTGGTTTGGTTTAACATTGACAAATTAGTTTTTTTTTTTTTTTATGAACTGGAAATGGTTTGTGAATGAAAAAGTATTGTAATTTTGGCGCAGGACAAATTGGATACGCTCTTGTCCCTATGATTGCAAGGGGTATCATGCTTGGTGCAGACCAGCCAGTGATCCTCCACATGTTGGATATTCCTCCTGCTGCTGAAGCTCTCAACGGTGTCAAGATGGAGTTGGTCGATGCTGCTTTCCCTCTTCTCAAAGGTAATCAAAACTGTGTTTTCTTTCTCTGCTTTTCTCTCTTATTGTGAGTATGATCTGTCATCTGTTTCATGTTTGGTTCTGCTTAAGAGAGAGAGAGCTAATGAAACATTTGACGTGTTTTACTTTTTCAGGTGTTGTTGCTACAACTGATGCCGTTGAGGGATGTACTGGAGTCAACGTTGCTGTTATGGTTGGTGGTTTCCCTAGGAAAGAAGGAATGGAGAGGAAGGATGTTATGTCCAAGAATGTCTCCATTTACAAGTCCCAGGCTGCTGCGTTGGAGAAGCATGCTGCTCCAAACTGCAAGGTGAAATAAGATATGTTTGCCTTTTAATTCAATTTCTTTGAATGAAGACGCTTAATCCAATTTTTGTTGTTCGTTTAAGTGTAACAAATGCTTCATATTCTCTCAGTTAAGTTCTAGTTTGTGACTCTCTTGCTAAAGACGTTTTTTCTCGTTTTGACTTTTATTGTCCAGGTTCTTGTTGTTGCAAACCCTGCAAATACCAACGCATTGATCCTTAAGGAATTTGCACCATCCATCCCTGAGAAGAACATCACTTGTTTGACAAGGCTTGACCACAACAGGGCCTTGGGTCAGATCTCCGAGAGGTTGAGCGTTCCCGTGTCTGATGTCAAGAACGTCATCATCTGGGGAAACCACTCATCCACACAGTACCCAGATGTCAACCACGCTAAGGTGCAGACTTCGTCTGGAGAGAAGCCAGTCCGTGAGCTCGTCAAGAACGATGAGTGGTTGAATGGAGAGTTCATCACTACAGTTCAACAACGTGGAGCTGCAATCATCAAGGCGAGGAAGTTGTCAAGTGCACTCTCTGCTGCTAGCTCTGCTTGTGACCACATCCGTGACTGGGTCCTTGGAACTCCAGAGGTTCCTAATAAAACCCTTTTTTTCAGAGTACTTTTATTTTTTTTGTAGCCGTTCTAACATGACTTCTTTCTTTGGTTCCGTTGCTCAGGGTACATTTGTTTCCATGGGAGTATACTCTGATGGCTCTTATGACGTTCCATCAGGACTTATCTACTCCTTCCCTGTCACTTGTCGCAATGGAGAGTGGAGTATTGTCCAAGGTAATAAGACACGCTTTTAACAACTCTAATACTCAAGATCTCATACTAATGTGGATTTGGTTTGATTAGGGCTTCCCATTGATGAAGTATCAAGGAAGAAGATGGATTTGACTGCAGAGGAGCTGAAGGAAGAGAAGGACTTGGCCTACTCATGCCTCTCTTAAACCAATACTCTTTCTTCTTCTCAATCAGGTGTGAGATCAATAAAGCTTTTAGGGCTTTATCGTAATAAAGACTTTGTTTAATAGATCTCCAAACACTGTCCCTGAGCTGATATCTTGTACTCTTGTTTTTCTGTGTGTGACTGATTTGGTCTACCCATAGTAATAAAAAAACTCTAAACTAAATTCAGAAATCGAATCATTAACGATAAACATTATGCACTGGTCCATAAACTAGGATTCGACTCATATAAAAGGATTGAATACAAATATTGAAAGTTACAGAAAATTCAATGTTTATCTTTACTTTTTGTAAAGTAAAATAAAAAAGCAGTGGATCTTGTTTAGAAATGAGAATCAAGTTCTTATTTATTAAGCCTTTATAGTAATATCCAGTGGATTCTACCAAAAGTGGGAATGACCAGAATCGTGTTCATGAACCAGCCAACGTTAGACAACGTAAGCGAAGATGATTATTATTCACTGAACTTTAGGCCCATTTTTATTTTATTTTTCTTTTCTTTTAAAGAACAAAAATTCGATTCCTTGTAAAATATCTTCTTATATCAAAAAAGTAAAGTTCGTTCGTTGATGATGATCCCCATGAAAATCTAAGAAGAGCAAATGAAAAATGAGTTGGGTAAAAAAAAGCCAATTAAATTCGAACGCCACTAGTTGTGGATAAAGTTGGCTACTTTTGTCTGAATATTATATGCGCATTATTGCAATACCTACAATAACAACACAACCTCATCATGGGTGTGTTTTCCTCTTCCATTTAGATCTCAAAGTCTTTAAACTTTCATTTCCCAAAATAGGAAGCAGAGGTCGGCTCATAAAAAAAATCACCTTCACACCCCAAAGTTTTTTCTCCTCAAGATCCAAAGCTGCTACAAAGATCTCTCTCCCCAACTCTGATTAAGTTCTGGTAAAAAGAAAATTCCAACTTTTAATTTATTCAAACATCTAGTTCTTGAGTATGCTCTCAAACACTTGATTTTTGTATAGTAGATATTGATCTTTAAAGTGAAAGTATGGTACTTTGTCTGTTTTTGGGGTAAAGGGTTTAAAGATCACAGTTTTTTTATTAATCATTCTTTTTGAATTATTTGGACAGAGAGTGGAGCTTAGCATGGCGACAAACAAAAAGACTATAGTTTGGTTCAGAAGGGACTTAAGGATTGAGGATAACCCTGCATTAGCAGCAGCTGCTCACGAAGGATCTGTTTTCCCTGTTTTCATTTGGTGTCCTGAAGAAGAAGGACAGTTTTATCCAGGAAGAGCTTCAAGATGGTGGATGAAACAATCACTTGCTCACTTGAGTCAATCCCTGAAGGCTCTTGGATCTGAGCTCACTTTAATCAAAACCCATAACACCGTTTCAGCTATCTTGGACTGTGTTCGTGCAACTGGTGCTACTAAAGTCGTCTTTAATCATCTCTATGGTAAAACTCTCTATCTCTCTTTATTCATTTTGGTGTTACACCTGAGGTTTGATATGAAGTTACAATTTCCTTGTTGTAGATCCTGTTTCGCTGGTTAGGGACCATACTGTAAAGGAGAAGCTTGTGGAACGTGGGGTCTCTGTGCAAAGCTACAATGGAGATTTGTTGTATGAGCCTTGGGAGATATACTGTGAAAAGGGCAAACCTTTTACGAGTTTTAATTCTTACTGGAAGAAATGCTTAGATATGTCTGTTGAATCCGTTGTGCTTCCTCCTCCTTGGCGCTTGATTCCTCTATCTGCAGGTATGTGTAAAAGCTAAAAACATTTTCATTTTTAAGGACACAACAGTTGAGTGTGTTTTCTTTGTGTTAGCAGCTGAAACGGTTTGGGCATGTTCAATTGAAGAGCTAGGACTAGAAAACGAGGCAGAGAAGCCAAGCAATGCTTTGTTAACTAGAGCTTGGTCTCCAGGGTGGAGCAATGCTGATAAGATACTAACCGAGTTCATCGAGAAGCAACTCATAGACTACGCAAAGAACAGCAAGAAAGTTGTTGGCAACTCAACCTCACTGCTCTCTCCATATCTCCACTTCGGTGAAATAAGTGTCAGACGCGTCTTCCAATGCGCTAGGATGAAACAAATCATATGGGCAAGAGATAAAAACAGTGAAGGAGAAGAGAGTGCAGTTCTTTTCCTCAGAGGGATTGGTCTAAGAGACTATTCTCGTTATATATGTTTCAACTTCCCTTTTACTCACGAGCAGTCCTTGCTGAGTCATCTACGTTTCTTCCCTTGGGATGCTGATGTTGACAAGTTCAAGGCCTGGAGACAAGGCAGGACTGGCTATCCGTTGGTGGATGCTGGAATGAGAGAGCTTTGGGCTACTGGATGGATGCATAACAGGATAAGAGTGATTGTTTCAAGCTTTGCTGTGAAGTTTCTTCTTCTTCCATGGAAATGGGGAATGAAGTATTTCTGGGATACTCTTTTGGATGCTGATTTAGAGTGTGACATCATAGGATGGCAGTATATCTCTGGGAGCTTACCTGATGGCCATGAGCTTGATCGCTTGGACAATCCTGCGGTAAACTTACAAAACTTATCTTTTTACTAAAGAGTTTAGCTGCATGACTACTTGTTATTGTATGTAGTGCTGGGCATTTAGGTTTCCGGTTCGGGTTGGTTCAGGTTATTCGGGTTAGGATGTTTAGGAAGCGGACTTTTTTTGGATCAGATCAGTTCGAGTAGTGTCTATTATTTTATGTAAACCCGAAATAGAGCCGAATTAAAAATAGTTTAGGGTTAAAGCCCAAAAAGCCTGAAAAATATTCAGATAATTAAAATTAAAAATAATAGGAACGGTTCAGGTTTTTGTAACTTTTCTTTTGTCCGGTTTCGGCGGTTGTCGGGTTTCGGATAATATGCTCAGGACTAATTGTATGTTTGTTTGTCTCATTGAGAAGTCTCAGAGAATATGTCTGGTTTGGTTTCAGATACAAGGCGCAAAGTATGACCCGGAAGGAGAGTACATAAGGCAATGGCTACCCGAGCTGGCGAGGTTACCAACTGAATGGATCCATCATCCATGGGACGCTCCTCTAACAGTACTCAAAGCTTCCGGTGTAGAGCTCGGAACAAACTATGCCAAACCCATTGTAGACATCGACACAGCTCGTGAACTGCTAACCAAAGCCATATCAAGAACTCGTGAGGCACGGATCATGATAGGAGCAGAGCCTGATGAGATTGTAGCTGATAGCTTCGAGGGCTTAGAGGGTGCTAATACCGTTAAAGAACATGGTCTTTGTCCGTCTTCTAATGACCAGCAAGTACCATCGGATGTCCGTTACAATGGGTCAAAGAGAGTGAAACTTGCGGAAGAAGAAGAAGAGAGGGAGATGAAGAAACTTAGAGGATACAATGAAGTTATTAGAGAAGAAGAAAGGGACTTGTTTTCTACTGCTGAATCTTCTTCTTCTTCGACTGTTAGGAGTGTGTTCATGGTTTCTCAGTCTTGCTCGATGGTATCAGAAGGTAAGAATCTGGAAGGTATTCAAGATTCTTCTGAACAGATTGCTACAAGTTTGGGGAAAATGGTTAGAAATGATCAAACATAAGCTCTATATTATTCTCTGCTGTTGTTATTACTATAAAACCTAACATGTAGAAGTATGAATGTGTGTGTCTCTTGACTCCTTGCTTCTTGTGATGATGCTCCTAAGAACAAGATGGAATAAGCTTATATTATATTGCTGATGAATGTATGGATAAAATAATAAAGATATTTATTTACATGTTTTTGTAATTGATGTGTGGGTATGCATGTTGTATACAATAAGAAACATGATACGTTTTGAACATACCGTTTACTGAACTTGAACTTGGACCGTTATAACGTAAAAGCAGGTGAAAAGTGATAAAAACCAAACTCTAAATCTTGTCATGACGCTTCTCATGCCTTGCATGATTTTTTTCCATGCGTCTCTTCTGTTACCTGGTCTGTTTCTCTTCCATCTTCTTATGTCTCTGCTATATATATATGCAGCCTTTGTGAGAAATCTTGAACGAAAAATATATATTAAAAATGGCCAAAAACTCAAATGATGAAACGAAAGATAACTTGGATGGCAAGAAACCTTCTGACTCTGCCTCAGACATCTCAGTCCCTATCATCGACTTCACAGGCGTCCACGAGGGTTCACTATCGCGTGAACGTGTCGTAGGTAAGATCAAAGACGCTGCAGAGAAGTGGGGAATTTTCCAGCTGATCAATCATGATATTCCTTTAACTGTTCTTGAGGAGATCAAAGATGGAGTTGTTAGATTTCATGAGGAAGATCCTGAGGTTAAAAAATCTTACTTCTCGCCAGATAACACTAAGACATTCAATTACCTAAACAGTTTCGAACGTGAAGATGTGTCTGTTGGTAACTTGAGAGACAGCTTCTCGTGTTACATGGCTCCTAATCCTCCAAACCCTGAGGAGCTCCCAGTGGCTTGCAGAGATGCTATGATTGGATACTCGGATCATGTGAAGAGGTTTGGTGGTTTGATCTTTGAACTTATCTCAGAAGCTCTGGGTTTGAGCCCTGAGACACTTAAGAGGATGGAATGCACAAAGGGTTTGCAAATGATCTGCCATTATTACCCTCCTTGTTCACAACCTGGCCTAACTTTGGGCACATGGAAACATACCGACAACACTTTCATCACTATTCTTTTTCAAGATCAAGTTGGTGGTCTTCAAGTTCTTCATCAAGATTGTTGGGTTGATGTAACTCCCATTCCTGGTGCTCTTGTCATCAACGTTGGAGATTTCTTGCAGGTTAGCTCATTTAACTGAGAGAATCAGAGGTTTTTTTGGTAAGAGATGCATTGAGTTTATGTCTTAACTTTTATTTGGTTTGTGTAGATGATGACAAACAATAGGTTCTTAAGCGTGAACCATAGAGCGCTTGCAAACAAAGTTGAACCGAGGATTTCAGTCGTCTGCTTCTTCTGCTATCCTGCGAATCTGAATTCCACACCTTAAGGAGCTTCATTGAGAAGAAAGATATGAAAAAAAAAAACAAAAAAATTATAAACACTTGCGAATTTACTGTCTGGTTTGCTGTAAGATATTTTTTGTTTATTGGGTACACAGTTGTCCAATAGTCAATTTTAGTCTCTGCAAGGTAAGGCTCTTATGAACATCTCCCATGAGAACTTAACGTCCACACTAGCTATGTAACAGTATCTCAAGTAATCAAGTCCTAAAACACTTGCATAAGCTTCACGTCTTCAATCTCAAGCACAGGAGCTAGAAACTCAGTGTTTCTCATAGCATGCTCCACACTAAAACGAATCACTAACTCGAGCAAGATAAGTAGATGATTGTAACAACATAACATAACCAACTGTTGCAGGGTTGTCTTACTTTTGACTACAACAAGCAACCTTTTGATCAGTTTGGTTTGGCTCAATAACATATGGACAAACTAAGACAAATAATCATCTAACTTCCTGCAATAAACATTTTTCAAAATATGTTGGTAATAAGTAAATAAAGGTTGAAGCTTTAGATCTTATCCAAAGTTCATTTTGGTACAAATAGTTTATAGAAGTGATAATGTGACAAGGACAGACACAATAGATATGCATGAAATACACAAATATATTTTACAAGTTACAACGAAACCAGACGTTTTGTATCATTCTTTTTTTTCATATCTTGAAATTGGACAGATGAGATGTTCCATCAAGACCCTTTTTAAAGTAACCTTTTGTATATTCTTCTAAAGTAAACTCTCTGTATTTTGGAGGGTTTTCTTCAGAGAGAAGCTCTTTGATTGGTCCATAAACAGTTGCATTTGGAAGCATACTCGTGCTGAAAAAGCTCGCCACTGAAATCCTCGTTTCATCTCTGTTGGACAGCACCCTATGCTTTGCGCTTATGAACTTGTCGTTGGTTATTAGCTGCATATCAAAGTCATCTCTCAGATTCTCAACACAAGTAGACATTATTTTCATTTAGTAAAAAGTCTTTAAGTAAAAATAAGGGATAAATGAGCCTTTGCCTGCAAGAAATCTCCTATGTTGATAACAAGAGCCCCTGGAATAGGTTTGACATCAACCCAATGGTCTTGATGAAGAATCTGAAGGCCACCTACTTGGTCTTGAAGAAGAACCGTGAGGAAAGAGTTGTCTGAATGGTTATTTGTACCAATGGTTAAGTCAGGTTGAGGACATGGAGGGTAATAATGACATATCATAAGGAAACCCTTCATACAATCCATGCTCTTAAGCTTATCAGAGCTAAGACCAAGAGCTTCAGACAAGAGTTCAAAGAGCAAAACACCTAAGCTCGTCATATGCTTCGTGTGTTCGATCATAGCATCCCTGAATCAATAACATATATGATGTAATCACAATCACTCAAACCTTTTGTGTGATTTTTTTTTAATTTTTTTTATTAATTTAGGCTATCTCAGATCTATAAAATTTCTCAAATTAATCCTCAATGGATAGTGCATGGATACACTATTTCTCCGGATATTAAAATAGACCAAAAGTAATGTTCCATATCGATGTGGAGTAACATTATGACTTATTTTCGCGCAACATGTGTATCGAACCGGAAACATGTTAATTAGTATCTCAAACCCGTCCCTTTACCACTCGACCATAAGGTCTAAGACTTTTGTGAGATTCTTGAAAGAAAAAAGAAAAGTTACATAAGTACCTGCAAACCATAGGGAGCTCTTCAGGGTTTGGAGGATCAGGAGCCATGTAACAAGCGAAGCTATCTCTCCAGCCAAGACATGAAGAAGAACTATACAGATCAAAGTTACTATTGTATACAAATCTCTTGGCTGCGTCACGAGTGAAGTAAGCTTTCTTAACCTCAGGATCTTGCTCAAAGAACCTTCGAACTCCTTCTTGGATCTCTTCAAGAACGGCTAAAGGAACACCATGATTGATCACCTGGAAAAAACCCCAGTTCCCTGCAGCTTCTTTGATTTTCTCAACTACGAGCTCACGCGTGACGTGGACGTCTGCAAAGTCGATGATAGGGATGGCGAAATCCGGGGGAGAGACAAAAGGTTTCTTGTCAGATAAGGTACCTTGAGGGAGACGGAATATACGAGGAATCTCGGTGATGTGAGCATCAACGAGACCTTTCACACCTTCTTTTGTCTCGTCGAAAGCTTTGCGCTCACTGTAAGAGTCGAACTCTTTGGTCACATCCATTTTTTTTTGTTCTTGAAACTACTTTCAAGATTTCTTTTCTCACAAAGAAGAAGCAGAACGTTATCGTAGTCTGGATCTTGATAAAGGTTGATATGACTACGAGCATCAAGTGGTTTATGTGCGTTTTCGTTCTTGTGGTCAATAAGTTATCGTTAATATAATACTTTTGGTATCAGGTGTTGTGGGACCGAAAATGATCTGTGATGACGTTGTCCGTTTTTGTTGACGGTTTTGAAACTGATGTCAGCATGTTTTTTCCTCGTTGTCAAAACTGATGTCAGCAGTGACAGCGAGGAAAGTGTTTAAGGAATCGCGGTAGTCATTGTTCTTATACGTTAGGGTCCGTTTGTTAAATGAGGTAGACGTTGTAAAACCGAAACCACTGAAAACGCAGAAACGTATCGACAAACGCTTAACTAGAACATAAGAAAATCGAAGTAGTGAAGATCTTAATTAACTAGAACGTAACGTAAACGAAGTAACGTTAAAAGACCAAGTATATAGGTAGAGATGAATCTTATCCTCGGAGTAGTTTTTTTCTTTTTTTTTTTAAAAAAAAAGGAAATTCTGAAAACAATGAGTTAAAAGTGAATAAACAAACAAAGATAGCAAAACACAAATTCGATTACAATTTTTGATTTTTCTGATAAAGAGCTTAAGTTGGAGTGCAGTTTTACAGGGATGAAATCATTATCTCGTAGCTAGTATTGGTAAGAAATAGTCTGACTGTATCACGAGCTAATAGCTAGAGAAGAGTATAAAAAGATATTGATAATAAACATCAGTAAAAGTAAAATAAAATGCAAGATTGTTATGTTCACATTTGAATTCTTTGTTATTGACAAAATGAACAAATGAATGTGTTCCACATGATCAGGCATTATTTATGATTTCATCTCTGTAAAAACTGCAATCTAATTTAAGCCATTTATCCAAAAATCAAAAATTGTAATTCAATTTGTGTTTTGTTATCTTTGTTTCTTTATTCATTTATAACTTATTATTTTCAGAATCCTATTTTTTAAATCATTCTTAATTTTCATATATCTGGCTCAATCTATAAATAAACTTGTTTTGTTTCTACATGATCATCGTTAAGAAACTCGATGCTCGAATCCTTTGTTGAAGATGCTCTTATGTTCACATTTGAATTCTTTGTTAAATAATTTACTGATTTAAGAAAATTAAATGTAAAGTAAAACCAAAAATCATATCCCAAAACTAAAATCCAAAATCAAAAGCTGAAAACACAAGTTATATTATTGTTTTTGTTTATTTACAAAATAAACTATTGCAATTTTTTTAAAAAAAAATTTTACGATCTTTTCAGTTTTAAATTAGATGTTCGATTATTTGATATATGTTTGTTGGTAACATCAGTTCAAACTAACTCAGCAGATCTAAAAAGTCAAACGAAAAGCTGAAAATCAAAAATAGAAACTTAAACTAGATATGAATATTCTAGTTTAGATCTCATCTACAAAAAGAATATACAAAAAAAAACACTTAAATTCCTGCTTAATTCAATCTCAGTTTGATTTATTAAACCTTTGGGTAGAAAATAACTTGTTATTTCATGATTAGTTTAAATTATGTCTCTGTAATGTGGCTGTATTTGAACCCAAAAATGATTGCATTAACATTGGTTTAGATTGTTTAAGGTTTTAAATTATAAATCAATCAGTTGATAAAATACGTTCTGGTTTAGTATTAATTTAACTAAATCCGTTTGGTTATGTCAAACCGAACTAGAACCAAACCGAACTCGTTATATGTGCAAAGGAAGCAGAGGAACCGAACATCTGAGAAAAAGATTGTGTTCCTGTCTCCGACGACAAACCAGACCTGCGACACCGTTGAGACAGAGAGAAAAATGGGTTTCTTCTCTTTTCTCGGAAGAGTTCTATTCGCTTCGTTATTCATCCTATCCGCTTGGCAAATGTGAGTTCCTTTTTTATTTAATTTTGAATTCTCTTCGAGAACCACGTCTCTGTTTTACGAGATCTGATTTGAAAGCTGTTTGATTTGGTATAAGCGCATCTAGGATAGATCTAGGGTACTTCATAGCTGATGAATCTAGCCTGAATTTTAGTACTTTTTTTCTTTTCCATTATTTATATGATACAGATCTCTTTCCTCATAAAGATCGATCCTTTGAATCCCTTAGCCGATGTTGCAAATCAACTCCTACGCGTGAGATTGTATTATATGTAGCTTTGATATTTTATCTATCAATGTAAAGTTCGGTACTTTGATCTTTGTCTCTCAATGTCTGCTTATGTATCCCTTACCGTTTTAGAGAGGACATACATAGAAGTTTATTTGCTTGAAATTTTGAGGGAAAGAGTTGGATTCAACTTATTAGTCTTGTCCATCATATTTAAATCTGATCTATTCGTTTTGGTATTAGGTTCAATGAGTTTGGAACTGACGGTGGTCCAGCAGCTAGAGAGCTGGCTCCAAAGCTCCATCTGACCAAAGCACATCTCTCTTCCAGATTAGGAGTTGCATTGCCCGACATTGAGGTATGCCATTGTTTAATGTTATAGTTCCTTCTCTTCATGCTGTCTAGATTTATGTTCCCTCTAACTTGGAGAACGAATCTTAAAAGGTGAAACAAGTGGTATGGGCAATTGTTGCTCTGAAAGGACTTGGAGGCTTACTCTTTGTTGTTGGCAACATCTTTGGTGCCTATCTTCTGGTTAGAACTCACTTCATTTCTGTTTATAAATATTCAAATATTTGCTTAGTTGTTGTATTGACTTTGGATTTCAATTCTTTTTTTTTTATCTTAGGCTGTCTATTTGGTGGTCGTTAGTCCCATCTTATATGATTTCTACAACTACGGACCTCATGACCGCGAGTTCTCTCTTCTCTTTACTGAATTCTTGCAGGTTTGTCTAAACACCTCTCTTCATTTGTCATGTGATATTGTTCTTTTAGCTGAAGAATGTTCCTTAATGGCCTCTTCTCATTCTTTTTTGGATTGTAATGTTTTATTGGCAGAGCGTTGCGCTTCTTGGGGCATTGCTATTTTTTATTGGAATGAAGAATTCGACGACTACGACCTCCACCTCCTCCTCCAACAGGAACCTGAAGAAGAGGACACTAAAGCCTAAAGCTGCTTAGAGTTCTTCTATTTTCCTCCACACATGTGTATCAGGCTTTAGAACAGCTTCTGATGTCTTCAAGCTCAACCGTCGTTTTTCTTCCTTACAACTTTTGCTTCTTTTTCTACAGTGGGATTTTAGAGTTAGCCACATTTTTGTAATTACTCTTCTAAGTTTTTTATTTAACTTTGGGATCGAAGAGTTTTCTTTTGTTGGATCATACAATTCTTTCTGCATTTTAATTAATTTTAATTCATCTGTTTAATTTTATTTTCGTAACTGTGAAGTAATTGTTAACCACAATTAGTGAATGGTGAGCAGATATTGAGAAAACCGTGTAATGATTGCACTAGCTTTTTATTTTCATTTAACATTTATTAAGTTGTTATAGTATTGTAAATGGTTAGAGTATGTAATCAATGATGCTCTAAACGAACTAAAATATAGTACTTTAACTAATGAAAATACTAGCTACCTCGATCAGTATAGACCTACACTTAGCTACTATTCTTTAACCGACTTTTACACAGACAGAGCCAATTGTGTGTGTGGTCTTACACACCTTTTTTTTACAGAAAAAGGTTGTGCATCTCATACAAAAGTAAAAAAGATTACATTTACCTCAAGTGTCAAAAGTACATGCATACATTCTTTTCTTCTTTCTTTTTCATTCCTTTGCATGCATTCTTACCTGGCAATTTTGGAAAAGCAAGATATTTGTTTTGCTTGAACAAGGAGGAAATATACAGAAAAGGGCGAGAATCAGCACGTGGTCTTCACCCTACACGTACCATTCAATATTAATGACTGTATAAAAGAAAAAACAACAAAAAAACTGCACCAGCCGGGAATCGAACCCGGGTCTGTACCGTGGCAGGGTACTATTCTACCACTAGACCACTGGTGCTTTTGTTATTTTACTTTTATTGTTTTTTTAATTTCTTAATAATCCAAGTCCAAGGATGATAGTAAGATTATTAACACTTCAACTACCAGTTGACCGTTATTGTTGAGTAGTTTTAAGCTTACAGGGTGCTTGTACTAATATTTACAAGGCCATAAAAATACATATATACTTGCATGTGAATACATGGATAAAAATATTTCCTTCATTTATTAGTGTGGTTGATCATATAGTATTTGATCTCCCAAATAAATCTTAAATAATGGACAATTTTCCATGAAAAAATTAATACAATGGTATTTTTAGGTGATTTTGGATTCCGATAAGATGCTCTAGCACTCAACACTCCTTTTGTGGTAAGAGTGAAGTTGAGTTCGGCCCACATAAAAAATAGATTCGGCATGTTTTGAATACAAACACATAGATTGAGTGTTTAACTAAACCATGTCTACAAAAAGGAAAAAATAAACAAATTCATGTAAGTAGGTCAAAATAACGAGCAAACATAGCGTGTTAGAAACGAGTGCATTTTCTTCACAGCCTAGTCGTTGTTCAATGCATTTTTGTTTCAAAGTTAAACTTTTCTCTAGCGAAGTAATTAAATCATTGGCAACCAAATTCGATGTGGTCATAATAATAATTTAATAATAACGCAACGTTATTTATGACAGAGACTTTTAAATCCACTTTTGAAAACATTTCATTATGACAAAAAACTCATCCAATATCCAATATTAATTAATAAAGTATTAAATTTCATAGTATTTTATATCTCAAGTAAGTTCAGCTGTATGTTAGTATATAATTTCATAACTTATACTCCCTTCTTTTCAAATTATGTGTCATTCTAGAGTAAAATTTTCGTTTCAAAATAAGTGTCGTTTTATAATTTAAATGCAAAATTTATTGATTTTAAATGTTATTCTATTTTTTCATTGGTTGAAAGTGGTTAGGTGTACACGTAATTGTGTTTTTATTTTGAAATATGTAAAATTAATTGTTTTATTAATCTGTTTTCAAAATTATAAAATGACAATTAAATTGAAACATGGGGAGTAATATATATAAAAAAAAAATATTTTTCCCTGAGTGACATTTGTCATATATCACTCAGAACCAGTTTAGTCTCTGAAATGTGTACGGTCACTTTTATTTGACAGTCAATTAACTCCCTTATTAAAAGAAAAGAATCCAAGAATTAATGGATTTGGGTAAGAGTCCACGTAGGTCAAGGTGTCGTGCTCGTGTTGTGTTCCAAACGAAAAACGTCTATGTTCTCTTCATGCACCCTTTATGGGCCCTACCAATTTCTTTCTTCAGTCTTCCCCTCAAATTCCTCTCTCACAATTTACTCGCTGCAGAGTCCTCCTCTCTCCCATATTTTACTCTCACTCACACATATCTCTCTCTCAACCTTGTGATGAGTTTTGTGAGATAGAGAGAGGAAGAGAATTAAAAAAAAAACAGAGGAGATCATCTTTTACTTCGTCACGATTTACATTCTCCCCGTGACAGAGATTTTGTCTGATCGTCTTTGTATATCACTACTACTGGCAGTTGCAGGTAACTGTTTCTGAAATGCAAGTTGAAATTTTGAGAATTGTCGCTATTTCTCATCTGATTCTGACTTTTGTTGTTAATTGTTCTTGTTCATAATTTCGTTTTTATTTCCTGGTGAAAGTAAAAGAAAACTTTTTAGCAAAAAAAAAAAAAAAATTAAAAGAAAACTGGTTGGTAATTGTGATATAAAATGTATCAGTTAACCTTACTTACCTTGGAACAAGTTTTGTACTTTTGTCTGATTTTGATTTTCACCATGTTCGAAAAGTAATGTCTGAGAAATTATTCAACTTTTGACAAACATCTCAAATAAAAAAAAAACTCACCTTTTTATATATATTTATCTCAGGAAATGATGTTAAAGACATTGTTAGTTCACGGGCTCTTGTTGGTCTTCTTCTTCTTCTTCTTGATCAGCTCTGTTTCTGGCGAAGAAAACGACGGTGGCTCGTCAATATGCAACTGCGACGACGAAGACAGCTACTTCAGCTACGAAGGAATCATCGAATCACAGAAAGTCGGCGACTTTCTAATCGCAGTCGCGTATTTCTCCATACCCATCGAGCTTCTCTACTTTGTGAGCCGCACACATGTCTCTTCACCTTACATTTGGGTCATCTGCGAGTTCATAGCCTTCATCGTCCTCTGTGGCATGTCCCATTTACTCTCTGGTTTCACCTACGAGCCCCACCCGCCTTGGGTCATAACAGCTGCAACCGTCTTCAAGATGTTGACCGCGGTCGTCTCTTTCCTCACTGCCATCTCGTTAGTCACTCTCTTGCCTTTGCTTTTAAAAGCTAAGGTTCGAGAGTTTATGTTGAGTAAGAAGACGAGAGAGCTTAACCGTGAGGTTGGTCTTATAATGAAACAGACAGAGACTAGTTTGCATGTTCGTATGCTTACGACTAAGATAAGAACGTCTTTAGATCGTCACACGATACTCTACACGACGCTTGTGGAGTTGTCAAAGACTTTGGGGTTGAAGAACTGCGCGGTTTGGATTCCTAATGAGATCAAGACGGAGATGAATCTTACGCACGAGTTGAACGGTGAGAATGTGGGTGGTAGCTGTGGTGGTTTAGGGTTTTCGATACCAATCACTGAGACTGATGTTGTGAGGATTAAGAGAAGTGAAGAGGTGAATATGTTGAGTGCTGGCTCTGCGCTTGCCTCGGTGACTACCCGAGGCAAACCGGGCCAGACGGTTGGGATCAGAGTCCCTATGCTTCGTGTTTGCAACTTTAAAGGTGGAACACCGGAGGCGATCCACATGTGTTACGCGATTTTGGTTTGTGTGCTTCCTTTAGGGCCAACACGGGGATGGACTTACCAGGAGCTGGAGATTGTCAAAGTTGTGGCTGATCAAGTAGCGGTTGCGATCTCTCACGCTGTGATTCTCGAAGAGTCTCAGCTCATGAATGAGAAGCTCGCGGAACAGAAACGTGTGCTTGAGGTGGAGAGGGAGAACGCGATGAGAGCTAATCAAGCTAAAGCTGCGTTCGAGGAGATGATGAGTGATGCGATGAGACGTCCTGTGAGGTCTATTCTAGAGTTGCTTCCTTTGATAACGCAGGACGGGACATTACCGGAGGAGACACAAAAGATTATGGTCGATGCTATGGGGAGAACTAGTGAGCTGCTGTTACACATTGTAAACAATGCTGGAGATGTAAAAAGTGGGACACATTGTTTTAGTTTGCGTTCGGTTGCGAAGGAAACAACTTGCTTGGCGAGGTGTTTATGCGTGGGGAATGGGTTTGGTTTCTCGACGGATGTTGATAGAAAATTGCCTGATTCTGTCGTAGGTGATGCTAGGAAGGTGTTACAAGTGATCTTGCATATGCTTGGAGGTTTAATGAACCGGAAGGTTAAAGGGAATGTGACTTTCAGGGTTGTACCGGTAAGAGGAAACTCAGAAGTTGTAAAAGATAGCCAAGAAGCGGCTTGGCGACAATGTTATTCCAAAGAATACGTTGACGTTAAATTCGTATTTGATGTAGCTTCAGAAGGTGAAGAGAGTAGTAGTAGCATCAGCACTAAGGTTTGACATTTTTGTTTGCTTTTTTTTTTTAATGTTATTGCAAGTAAAATATGTTAATGGGCTCTTATTGTTTTTGTGACAGTTCATGCAAGGGGATGTTTTGGTTGTGGAGGATGGTGTAGGTTTGGTGAAAAGCCTCTCTGTTGTGTTCCGGTTCCAGCTCCGGCGATCTATAGTGTCAAGAGGCAGTGGATATTCTGGAGAAACTGTTAAAACATCAACTCCTCCGTCTACTAGTAACGGTCTTCAGCGTCAGGACTCAGGAAGGGGGTAAAATGTTAGAGCAGAAGAGAGATAAACGGTTAAGAATTTCAGAGATGAGAGAGGGAAGTAAAAAGTAAAAACAGTATCGTTTTTAGGCTGTAGAAACCTGAAAATTAACTAGGTTTAACGTATTAATCATGTAAGCAAAAAGGCATCGCTCAGACTTGTTACCTGGTAGATAACAGAATTTAAAAGTTGAATGTGTCTGTCGGAGGATGTTTTTCTTCTTTTTCTTTCTGTTATTTGTCACATCGGTGTCGTTAAATGTTTTAAAGAAGAAAACTAAGTAGACAAAACGGATTAAGATTAACAACTTATTTGAAAGCCTAATAATGATATTTAAGATTAGCTATCTTTAAATATGTCATGGAAGCGGATCGGACCACGTAAGCTCACTGGACTTATAGAAAAATCACAGTCTTAACTCTAACCGAGATTAAAGATTTTAAAAAGCTGTTTGAAATTCATACCATAAATATTTCTTTTGACATATATCTTTATTTTTTTCTGTCAAAGAACATATCTTTTTACTCTGAGTAGAAATGTTAAAAAAAAAACGAGTGATGAATTAATTAATTGTGAAGAAATATTAACTGTAACTGTAGTTTTATTACAAAGATTCAATTAGATTAATGTAATTTTGTTGTTGGAGTATTATCCGATTGGACGAGCGTGGGGAGAAAGAAAACAGTAATCAAAACAATAAAGAGTTACTAATCAAATACTAAGTTTTTAAGGTTAATTTTTATTTTATGTTTTGGTGGAGCTGTTTCGTGCGACCTATCTCTCTCTCTATATATCTCACATTCATTCCTCCGTCGTCATATTTGGTTCTTTCGCTCGCTAGAATCTAATTGAAGCCCCCATTCAATCGAATAAACCTCTCTCTCTCTCTCTCTCTCTTTGCATCCATCATCTAACAGGTTCGCTTCGATCTACACGATTACCGTTAACACCCTTCGCTTGTTCTTCTGATTTTGCGAGAGAGCCGTTTTTTTATTTCCCGATCGCTGGTTTCATCTTAGGTTTCATGAAATTGGTTATCTGGAGATTATTAGCTGATTGAAATCAATTGATCTCCCTCTTAATTTTCCAGCTGATTTTTTTTTTTTGGTTTTTTGGCGCAACCATTTTATTTTCGAGATTAGAATTTGGGGTTTATTACCCGATTCGGGGTTGGGATTGATGCCTTGAATTCGTTTGGCTCACTGAGAAAATGAATTACGGATTTAGACTTTCACCTTTGGGTTGATTAAAATTGGCAGAGTTAGAGAGAATCAGATCGCTGAGTATCATAGGATTAGGAAAGAGTCAAGAAGCAGCTGAATTGTTACATGCTTGCTTCTCCTAGTCGTATTCATTAGACCCAAAACTTGCCAAATTATGTCTTATTAATTTATTACCTCCAATTTTTTTTTAAGGTTGAAGGAGAGGGAGCTTTGACCAAAAAATAAATCATACTGGGGAATGACAGAGACTGTTAATGAAGATTCTGGAGTGGGACGATCAGTAGAGGCGAGTTCTAATGGACACCACAGTCTATCAGGAGAATCACTCTCACTCTCTAAGTGGCGTTCTTCTGCTCAAGTGGAGAATGGGACTCCTTCCACATCCCTCTCTTACTGGGACTCCGATGATGAGGAAGACCATGGTACGTCTTTTGCTGCCAGATTTTTCTTTTCATGAGTTTTTCACTCTTTAAGACCTGGATGTGGGTATCTTCGATTTGAACTTCATCATGCTTTGTACAAACTGAAAGTGGTCGGACAGATGTGACTTTCATTTCTAAATTGTTCTGTTCGGAAAGTTTGTATGGCATCTAAAAACTGCCTACTTCCTCTCTTTTATGTATGATATCTGTGCGCCTTATTATACTTTTATGTGTTTTCAGCTGCTTTATGTGAACTTTAAATTTTTTTTTGTTCAGGCCTTAAACCCTCTCAATTATTTGGAAAACATAAATGGAAGATAGAGAAGTTCTCAGAAATCAAGAAAAGGGAGCTCCGTAGCAATTATTTTGAAGCTGGCGGCCACAAATGGTACATATCATATTTTACTCTTTCTCATCCTTCAATTTTTTCTCACAATAATAACTTGGATCTGGTTTTAAGGCTCTGTTTTCTTACCTTATGTTCATTGTGTCAGGTATATTTTAATTTATCCACAAGGATGTGATGTTAGCAATCATCTCTCCTTGTTTCTCTGTGTTGCAAACCATGATAAACTCCTTCCAGGTTAGTAGTTATGTCCACTGGTCTGCACGGTCCCGTTTCTCTCTTTGGATACCTTGTCATGTAGTTTTTTTTTGTTATCTTGTTGGAACAGGCTGGAGTCATTTCGCTCAGTTTACTATAGCTGTGGTGAATAAAGATCCAAAGAAATCCAAATTTTCAGGTGACTTTTTGAGTCTTAATTTACTTGCCCCCGTTTAAATATGCAGACACCTGAACACACCTCTTGCAGATACGCTTCACCGGTTTTGGAAGAAAGAACATGATTGGGGATGGAAAAAGTTTATGGAGTCAACTAAGTTAAAGGATGGGTTCATAGATGATTCCGACTGTCTTACAATTGAGGCTCAAGTTCAGGTTATCAGGTAATGCAAAATTGACTGTATGTAGAGCCTGAGTAAAAAATTACCACGTCATTTTTCATGCTACCATTCACTTACAGATTATTCTCAAATTAAACACATGTGATAAGATTATTCATTGTTTTCTGGTGACACTGATTTATACATTGTGAATAATTTCCTTGTAACTGGTTCTTGCAGGGAAAGGGTGGACCGACCTTTTCGCTGCCTTCATTGCGGTTATAGGAGAGAGCTTGTTAGGGTGTACTTGTCAAACGTAGAGCAACATTGCCGACGTTTTGTGGAAGAGAAAAGAAGCAAGCTTGGGAGGTTGATAGAGGACAAGGCAAGGTGGACGAGGTATTTCACATTGCAACTTGTACCCTTAACTCTCTAGATTCCGAAAATGTAATCATAGTGCATTGCGATTGTTGAAGATAAGTGAGCAGGAAGTAGCTTTTGTTACCTTTTTCTCTGAGGAAACCTTGCTATGTTTAGAATTATCTTGTTTTCCACCATACGTTTGGAGTCCAACAGAAACTTGCTTTAGTTCTAAAATTGAAATTTTGTTTTGTGGTTGTCGCTGTCCACTATCTCTGATTTACAAGTCTTGGTAGCCAAGGAACTTGAGATGGTGGGACGGATAATCCCTTAGAGATGATGTGGGAAAATTTTCTTAGTTCACACACTTGTTGAAGCCAGAACTTACACCAATCTAGTAGAGTACTGTTGCCTTACTTTTATATTTCTTTTGATATCTTTCTCTCTCAACTTGAGAAATTTTTCCTAAAAAGAATGGAATATCATTCTTGGTTGCAGCTTCGGTGTTTTCTGGTTAGGGATGGACCAAAACTCTAGGCATCAGATGTCTAGAGAAAAAATGGACGTAATCCTTAAAGGAGTTGTAAAACACTTCTTCATTGAGAAAGAAGTTACATCCACTTTGGTGATGGATTCCTTGTATAGTGGCTTGAAGGCTCTTGAAGGCCAATCTAAGAGCAAGAAAGCTAGGCCAAGATCCTTAGATGCCAAGGAATGGCCAGCTCCGATTGTTAGTGTGGACAAAGATATGTTCGTATTAGTTGATGATGTGCTGTTACTCCTAGAGAGAGCTGCTCTAGAACCATTGCCTCCAAAAGAGAATAAAGCCCCCCAAAACCGTACAAAGGTCGGTTTCATGGGTTGTATATATATATATATATGTGTTTGATTGAAATCCGTTATGTGTGATCATATCTTCATTCGTTTTATATTTGTTTTTGGCATCTGTTCATTTTTCTCTTTTAGAGGTCTTTTTGCATTGTCCACTAGAAAGTTACATGTATTGAGAAAATTGTTTTTGTTCTTCGATGCAAATCTAGGATGGCAATGATGGAGAAGAGGTCAGCAATGAAGCCGTTGAGCGTGATGAGAGACATTTAACTGAGTTGGGCAGACGAGCTGTGGAGATATTTGTTCTTACCCATATCTTCAAGTAAGAATCCATAACTATGTTTCTATTCGGTGTTCCATTGTGTTCTTCCTTGCTGTTCTTATGTATCGTATTTCAACATCTCTGACAACTGCAGCAGCAAAATCGAGGTTGCATATAAAGAGGCCATTGCGCTAAAAAGGCAGGAAGACTTAATTCGTGAGGAAGAAGAAGAGTGGTTAGCAGAAACCGAACAGAGAGCCAAAAGAGGAGCAGCAGAGAGAGAGAAGAAATCTAAGAAGAAACAGGTGTGACACTTTTGGCTGTTCCAAAAACTAATCTTACTCCTGCATGTCCTGTACAGCTTGGTAGATGTTTATGAAAGTTTTATTTGGTTGTTGGACATTTATAGGCAAAGCAGAAACGGAACAAAAATAAAGGAAAGGACAAAAAGAAGGATGAAAAGGTTACATCTGCAACACATGAAAAGGATCTCGAGGAAAACCAACATGATGAGGAGCGAAAGGATTCTGTTACAGAGAAAGCACAATCCTCAGTTGAAAAGGCTGATACTATTGAGGATGTGTCCGATATATCTGATTCCGTGGATGGTTCGGCTGACATTCTTCACCCTGACTTAGAAGATGGGGACAGTAGTTCTGTTCATTGGGATGCTGATGCTTTGGAAATTCATCCTCCTCAATCAGAAGGGAGCACCAGAGGAAGCGGCATTTCCATATCTACACCCAATGGAACTGCAGAAAGAAAGAATCAATCCACTATGGATGATAGTTCCTCGACTTGTTCTAACGAATCTATCCGGTCAGGTGTTACCAATGGCTCTTACAAAGGGAATATTTTGAATTTCCAAAACCAGAAGTCGCCAAACAAGTAAGTTTTTTTGGTCTTCCGTTACTTATTCTGTCTGTTCTGATTACTAATGATAAGACATCTATGTGATTTGCAGAGGAAATAACCAGCAAGTAAGAATAACATCAGATGCCCGCAGTTTAGTGACTGAAACAGATGATGATCAGCTAAAGAGTCAGAATCCTTCTTCCGAATCTGATTGGGTTGTTGTCTCCCACAACCAGGAGTCAGAGAGCTCTCGGAGTCGTAGACCCGTAGGGAAGGTTGGTGGTCACTCATCGTTTTAGTGTTGGAAACTATATACATCATAGAAGTGAGATTCTGACTGATTGAATTAATAATGCAAATTCCTATTTTTCAGCAACGCAACGTGGCTCAAGTCATTGTGAACTCAGTTCACATGGATCGATCTGTTGAGAAAAGCGCTGCTGTACTTTCTTCTCCAAGAACTGCTGCCAAGAATTCTTCACCAGTAACTCAGACAAAACCGGAGAAAAGGAGCGTTTCAAACGCAGACGCTGTTCCAAACAAGAAAGTAATGTCAGCAACTGGACCACCTTCATCAAGTCAGGTATTACCACCATCTTCAGATATTCAGTCGCAAGCTGTTGGTCTCAAAGCTGATATCCAAAAGATCCCTCCAAAACAACCTGCAACAGCAACTACTGTAACAAGGCCTTCTAGTGCTCCTATAGTCCCTGCGATGCGACCCGCGCCTATTATTGTCTCCTCCTCGGTTCAACCAACAACATCCCTTCCTCGGTCTGTTAGCTCAGCTGGTCGTCTAGGTCCCGACTCTTCACTACACAACCACCAAACTTACATTCCTCAATCATATAAGCACGCCATAGTCGGTAACTCTGCTGGTTCATCATCTAGTTTCAACCACCACCCAAGCTCTCATGGAGTTGTCCCAACCACATTGCCATCAGCATCTTACACACAAACACCGACTTATCAGTCAAGCTTCCCTTTCAGTCAGGATGGGACCTATCGATCAAGGAGTTTTAATTCTGTAAACAGGGGCATGAACAATCATTACACACCCGCCGTGACTAGCAACAGTTCTCTGAACCACATTGATATTGAGACAGCGCGACAACAAGCACAAAACTTGATGACCGACGAGTTTCCTCACCTCGACATCATCAACGACCTTCTCGAAGACGAAAACTGCAGCAGCATGGTGTTTGATGGAAGCATCTACAACTCACAACCCCAGCTGTTCAACAGCCAGTACTCTTACCATGGTGGTGGTTCTGATTTAGGCATCTCAGGTGAGTTATTAACTAGTGGCAGGTCCAGGAGTTTCGGAGATGAAGGATTCAGCTACATGCCACGTGGACCATATGCAGATGGTTTGATACCGACGCAGTGGCAAATGGCAAACATGGACTTGTCCTTACTAGCTATGAGGAACAGTAACATGGAAGATACAACACCAACATACCATCACACATACTTTGGTTTGGACTCTACGAATCAGAGTTTTTCTTCCGGGATTAATGGATACACTGAGTTCAGGCCGTCCAATGGTCACTGAGTGCCGGCATCATTATCTGCCCTCTTGTGAGGAAACGAAGATGGATTATAGTTTTTTTCAGGTATTTGGGATTTGTAATGATTTTACTAAAAAGAAAAAAGAAATCATGAAAATACAATTTGTGTAAAGAGAGTTGTCTTTGTCTTCCTCTGCGTTTCAAATGAATAATCCTTTCCTTTTATATAAAAGATAGATTTCGCATTTCTATAAACAAAGTTTTTGCTCTGGATGTACTAAATTAACCTCTCTTTTTTTGTAATAACTTCAGTTTCGTACTAATTTGATATTAGTATCACATATGGGTTATAATTATCTCGTCTAATTGTATAATGTATGTGTTGTAATCTTTGCGTAACCTCCTGACTAATTCTTTACTCAGTGAGTAGAACAGAATAATCTCCTTAAAAATCTGATCAAATAAAACACTCATAACCGAGTGTCCTTGGAAAGACAAAAAAAAAAGGAAAAGAAAGCATGAACCTTGGATCGGTTACGCGGTATCTTGAGGGAGAAGCAATCGAGAATGATGAAAAAACAAAAGTTGGGAATTTACCACCGAGATTCATCGAGAAATTCGTGATGAAAGGTATAAAAGTAGATCTCATCGAACCTGGTCGAATCGTCTGCTCCATGAAAGTCCAACCTCATCTCCTGGTAAAAATATATATATTTACCTATTTTTTTCTGATTAGGGATGTGAAACTTTTTTGAATTTTTGGGAATTTTGGAGGAAAGAACGCAGGAAAATTCTTACACGGAGGAGCAATGGCGACAGTGGTGGATTTGATAGGGACAGCAGCAATTTACACAAACGTAGATTCAGACCAGTCGGAGGGAGTGTCAGTGGAGATCAATGTTTCATACCTTGATGCTGCTTTCCTTGACGTACGTAACATCATCATCATCATGCATGCATATTCTTTTTTTCTTTTGTGTTAGAGATGATCATGAGTTTCAAAGAAAACGATATTCATATTAGTGACTGTTTACAGGAAGAGTTAGAGATTGAATCGAGGGCTTTGCGTGTGGGTAAAGCTGTTGCGGTTGCGAGTGTTGAGCTGAGGAGGAAGAAGAATGGTAAGATTATTGCTCAAGGTCGCCATACTAAGTACCTTGCTCCTCGTCCTAAGCTTTGATTGAATCTTTATTCTTCTACTATCTATTTATTTATCTCCTTAATTAAATAAGACTCGAGTCCCTTTTATCTGATCATGAGTTTGCATGATACTTAATAATGCTAATAAAGATATCACTAAATTATGATGTTTGTTTTGTGCTACAAAGTTGAATATGATTCCAGTGTTTTAGACAGCAGATGTTACTTTATGCTAAAGCCATCGTGCAATTGTTTTTGAGTTGATGTCTACAAAATGAAACAACTTGTTCCTGTTTTGTCACATTATTACATAGTAGTATGTTTTAGAGGTTTCACAGGAAGACATTGTCCTTGGTTGCATGTTTACGTCTGCAATTTTGTAACAATATTAATGAAAAGAAGTTAAGAAACGTAACAATATTTAACCAGTCAAGAAGGGTCTCGTTGAGTTGTTGGGCCGGATATTCAAATTTCTATCAAATATGGGCCTCGTTGGGTTGTTCGAGTGGTTAAAGAAGGGTATTGTTCATTCTTCTAAAGTTACGTGCTGATTTGAAAGTAAAGATAATATAGAGATCCTAAACAGCAAATTACAATTCTTATACTAGGGTTCTCGAGTGTGCACCCCATATATATTTGTAGCGCCGAACTTAACCTCCCTCTCTTTTTATCTCTCCGCAAAGACCTGACGCAGACAACCAGTCTCTCAAGCTTCTAACCGTTTAGTGTTTTATCATTTTACCGAGATCTAATCATGGTGAGGTCTCAATCTCTGAGTCTTCTGCTCTAGTTTCGTTTTATTATCGTCATGGTTTGCTAATAAAACTATAAATGGTTGAATGTGTAGGCGGATGTTGAACCAGAGGTTGCTGCGGCTGGAGTCCCAAAGAAGAGGACGTTCAAGAAGTTTGCCTTCAAGGGAGTTGATCTCGATGCTCTTCTCGATATGTCTACTGATGACCTTGTCAAGCTCTTCCCTTCTCGTATTCGCAGAAGGTAAAGACAAATAAAAACGACTTCAGACCGTAGATAATGGTTCTGTAATGGATGTATTTTATGTTTGTTCTGACATTTCTCTGTGTGTCTGAAAATGGTTTTAGGTTCTCTAGAGGATTGACCAGGAAGCCAATGGCTCTGATTAAGAAGCTTCGTAAAGCGGTATGCATTTCATTTCTCTGTGAACTCTCTTCGTACTTTCTTACTGTTGTTGTGAAATGGGCTTGAATGTTAGATTATAATCGGTTATGTCTTTGAGATTCTAGTCACTAATGCAGACGAATGTCACTTTGCAACCTTTGGCTTGTTACCTTGGTTAAGATTGTTTGAAATTAGTTGATTTAAGTTGCTGAAAGTTTCGTGACATTAGTGTGTGATTGTTAACCGTTTTAGTTACTTAATCTGTCTTATCACTACTTGAGATTGTTAGTATCTCATTAGTTATGTCTTTAAGATTCTAGTCACTAATGCAGTCTTTGGAGTGTATGTTATGTCTTGTTTCTTTTTGTTATTTGTTGCATTCTTTGGCTTGTTACCTTAGTTAAGATTGTTTGAAATTAGTTATGTCTATAAGTTGCTGAAAGTTTCGTGACATTTGTGTGTGATTGTTAACCGTTTAAGTTACTGAATCTGTCTATCACTACTTGAGATTGTTAGATAATCGTTTAATGAAGATTGTATAGGTCGCAACTAAGTGTTTGATACTTTTGTTTAATAAATAGAAAAGGGAGGCACCACAAGGAGAGAAGCCAGAACCAGTGAGAACCCACCTCAGGAACATGATCATCGTCCCTGAGATGATCGGAAGCATCATTGGAGTTTACAACGGAAAGACATTCAACCAGGTTGAGATCAAGCCTGAGATGATTGGTCACTACTTGGCTGAGTTCTCCATCTCATACAAGCCGGTTAAGCACGGTAGGCCTGGTGTTGGTGCTACCCACTCCTCCCGTTTCATTCCCCTCAAGTGAAGAAGAGCTTGTTATACTTCGGGAATGTGTCCTATCTTTACATGGCCTTTTTGTTGTTGTTTTATGATGCTGGAACTTATTTAGATATTTCTCAATCTTGCAATCAAATGTTATTGACTTCCGTTATCTGCATTTTAATTTATTTTAATTCTTTACCTTGATTAACTTAAACTTGGAGCTGCTTAGCTTTAATTTTCAACACTGGGACTCATTCACCTAGTCATCAAAAATCAAATTTGACATTCATAACATTGGGTCTTTTTATGCTAAATGCCCACATATATAATCGATAAGACTCAAGCATAGTTTCTTTTTTGTGACCTTTTGAGTAAAAAAATTAATGTAATGGAAAAACACAGATGGGCTTTTCAAATGGGCTTTTACTGATTGGGCTTAGGCCTTTTAAAGTTGAAAACCAGTTATCTTCTCTCCGTTGTCTTTTCCTCCAAGATTTCTAGGGTTACTGAGATTTGAGGAAGATAACAAACAGCAACAATGGCGAATCAAGTGATCTCCGGAATCAAGGAAACAGCTCAATCAATCACCGGCGCGGCTCGTCCTTGGAGCGACTTCTTCGATCTCTCCGCATTCAGCTTCCCTTCCTCCTTCTCCGACGCCACAACTCGCGTCACTCAGAACCTCACTCACTTCCGCATCAACTACACTCTCATTATCTCCGTCCTCCTCGCTCTAACCCTAATCACGCGCCCGATCGCAATCCTCGCCTTCGTCGCCGTCGGATTAGCCTGGTTCTTCCTCTACTTCGCTCGCGAGGAGCCGCTCACGATCTTCGGATTCACTGTTGACGACGGCGTCGTGGCGGTGCTTCTCATCGGTCTTACGATCGCGGCGCTGGTAACGACTGGAGTTTGGCTTAGTGCTCTCACCACCGTTGGATTCGGAGCTCTGATCTTGTTTCTACACGCGGCGCTTAGAGGAACGGAGGATCTTGTTACGGATGATTTGGAGTCGCCTTATGGACCAATGCTCTCTACTGATAACAGTGGTGATTACAGTGGGATTTGAGATACATTTCGTTACTTTTGATTGATTTAAGGATTGTTGATTTTAGGGTTTCGTTGTTTGTAACTAAACTCTGATTGTTTTCTTTTGTGTTCATTAGTAAAACATTGTGCAAGATTTATAAGATGCTTACGAAGGGAATCAAATGAAAGTTTATACAATAGGGATTAAAGCATTAAGCCTATTAGGTGTTTACTATAGTAGTTAAAATGGTTTGTTGTCAACAGTTAGATGCTTGAGCTAACATGCGTATAGTTGTGTTCTGTGGCGTCTCCTAGTTGAAGTAGCATTCTACTTCATTGCTAAAAGCTTATCTTGTGGCATCATTCTTAACTGTGAGTGTCCGCTTCTAGCTTCATTTCATTGCAGCGTATACTCTTACATTAGTCCATCAATCCGGGAATGATACTGTAATTGTATGCAACAAAAATTTAGACGTCGACCTCATCCTTTTCAGTTTTGGGGTCTTTTCCCAGTCTGTAGATGAGAAAGAACAGTTAAAAAGACTCGAAATCAAATTAATGGGCCGGCTAGGATATAAATTCATTGTTGTGGGCTCCTAAAGATTAAATGTCCATAAAGTCGTAAAGGCTAGTACTTAACATGATTATTAACCCCAGTCTGGCAATCTCGTATTTATAGTTTTTTATTATTTATGATTTAATTTCTTTTCCTTTACATTTTTTAGTTAAGAAACGTTTTTTATATCTTTTATTTAAAAACATTTTTAGCTTTTAGTTATTAGCTGTAGTTAAGAACCTAATTAAGAGATCAGGATTAATTACTTGAGATTATGGCCTTAGCTTTTGTTTTCTAATTTTTTTGTTTGTGATTAGCATTATAAACATGAAGTTCTTAATTCCTTGGTGGCTTATGTAAAACCTTCAAGTTTATAATATTATTAACCTTTTGATCTCTAATTCATAATTATTTATTTTAACCAGACCATTTAATTCATTAGCCAATATTTGTTTTTTTCTTTCCGTTTGTTCACTAATTTTCTGCATTTCTTCTAGTTATCAAAAATGTATTAGCACAGTTCTTGCTGAAGGACCCAAGCGTCAACTTGTCATATTAATTATTGACCCCATCAAACATCGAACATGCTTTTGCCTGATTCAACAAGTTGATATAAATATGTAAATACTCACATTCAGAACATTTTAGCGTAAACAGTTGTACAAATGTTTGTGTTTACAAATACATATTTGGACATATTTTCTATGCATGTACGTTGACGCGATAAGTTCATGTATTGTTCGTTTGTGATTCAACATCTTCTCCATGTGCTTCCCCAGTTATCAATATTTACCTTCGGTTTATCAAACAGAAAAAAAAATAGTTGCATTCTCGACTTCTTCCTTTGATCTATATCTCTATTATACTATTTGTCTTACTCTCTTCATATTTTTAACGTTGATACACCCAATAATTATCAGTGTTAAGAGACATATATGATAGCTCCATTTTAGAATATTAACCACCATAAAAGGGTACCTGAGTATTTTACTATGTATAATATCGCCCAATACATACCCTTACTTTTATTTTATCTATAAGTTTTTGTAATCAAAAAGGTAGCATAGGTTATATTATGACACTTTCTGCATATTTATTTCGAATTTATTTAGAAAGTGGTTGTTTGTATAAAACTATGACAAATAATCCTATTAAGCTTTGTTATAAACGTTTATATTCCTAGTTAATTTATTGGGAAATGAAATGATAAACAAATTGATGAAATGAAGAGACCCATGAAGATGCACATGGCATTGCTCCCTCTCTTCCCTATGGGTCCTATTTATCTATATTTTATTTCCTCCAACCAAAGCCAATTATCACTTTAAGTACCAACAAATCAGTATACCGGCAAATTGAGTCCTCTCCATTTTCATATTTTCATTCAATATTATATAACATATTAACATGTACATGTATGTTGTCATTCCAATTAATTTGGTTTGGAAACTATGATTGAAGAAATAAACACCACTGCTAGTGTTTTGCATTTATTAAATATATGACATTTCCTGGCTAGTCATATAAACATTTTACCAAAAAAGAAAGACAAACACAAAAGATGTTCAAAATTATTACATATGTTCTATTACAAACGTCTCACATATTTAACTTAAGTTCATTACATATAATTATTTAGCATATAAATCGTATCTACACACCAACATATATAAAATTCAGATCAAAACAGACAATTAAAAGAAAACGTAGATATGAAACAAAGATTTTCATAGTAAAAACCACAATTAACACTCATCAATGTGTTAATCAAATATATGACCATTACCTCTTAAACTTGTAACTTCAAGCTCTACTCTTGCACTTCTCCATTGCTCTTGGAGCTGAAATACAGTTTACAAATATTAAGCAACTAGAATTCCCCACAATCTTTGGTTATATTTTTTTGAACAACCATGCTTTTACAAATTGGGAGAAAGATTGATTGTTTAGCAAAAGCCAATCTTTGGTTATATATCAATATATATTCAACTCTTTAGACAATGCACTTGCGTGAGACCAATGAATGAGTAGAAAATACGTACCGAGACCAATGGCGTCAGATCCTTTCATGAGACGTAAACGCTTGCATGTATCAACGAACATTCTAATCAATAATAATTTAAACAAAGGGGTTATTAAAATGATCGTGTAAATAAAGCTCTAATTAATTAGATCATACGTAATTAATAAGGAAGGAGAAGAAGAAGACGTACGGCCAAGGGACGTCGCCGACGAGCATCCAATCACCGTCTTTGTCTTCATAAGAGGGAACATAGTCCCAACTATTCACTATGTCCATTACTTTCCTCTCATTCATGAAATCTATCATTCCTTCTTCTCCTCCAACTTTTCCTTCAAAATAAATTATAATGCAAAAAATTTTAGTTATGCAAGTCTATATAGACCCGTTAATTGAGTTGTTATCTTTCAAACTTGGCATTTATGGTGATGCAGTAAATATTTAATAAGAAAAAAATACCCATGGTAAAAGAGCTGAACATGTTGGACAAAGCATTAGATAGCTCGTCGTAGCTCTTATACATCTTCAAGTCGACTTTCCTCAAATACGGTGCTCCGTCCATCGACACCTTCACAAACGCCACCGTTTCCGGGCCACTGCTTGATTTTTGGCACGAGCCCATTACGTTCTTCCGGTATGATCTCACCGGTGGCCATCCCACAACTTGTGCCCTATGAAATTATATATATAGAAAAATAGAAAACGGTTATGTTATACAAGCTTTTGTATGTGAAAATATGTTACATAAACTGTAGAAAGCTATCACCAATCCATTTTTACGTGGTGTTCCAAATATATTCTATTTGCATGAGATTATGGTCTAACTGGTGATCAGATTATACCTTTTGTTTCCCGTGGATTTTCAACCATTTAAGAAAAAAAGAAACCGTATAGACTTGTCAATTAGATAGTTTGAACCTCTTTTTTAAAACTATCTTAAGTGGCTTTTAAGCAAAAAAAAAAAATTATCTTAAGTGGCTACATTTTTGGATTATTTTTTTTCTGCTCATACTACTTAGTCAGATTTTTACTAACACAACAGACTATATTTTTCAGGCATGATAACTTGGAGGAAATAGTTTTGTGTAAATTTTTATTTTACTTTTAAGATGGATAAAAAAATAAATTAAGCGAATATCGCAAAAATAAATAGAGAGGGGAAAATGGTAAAATTACTTGGCAGGAGGCTTGGCTGGATCTTTGGGAGATGAATTATTATCCTTGGAAACAGAAGCCACGACGTCATGACTCTTAGATCCTTCCTTGCTTTCAGGTTCATTGTTCAGATTCAGCTTCAGATCAACCGTCTCCGAGAATCCTCTCTTGGTTCCAGTCACTGGAGCCGCCGTATCACCGCCGGGAAGACCAAGACACAGCTCAGTCTCCCTCAGATTCAGCTCGACACTGCCCATCATTGCTAACCTCTCTTCTTTTCAGTGTTCTTCTTCTTCTTGGGAAGGTGATGAGGAAGATGGAAAATGGTTTTTATAAAAACAAGCAAATAATACAAAGTGAGATGAGTCTCTATTATATATCTCTCTAGGTGGTAGCTGCATGTGTATGTCGTATATCAGAGATATTTGGTTAAATGGGTTATAGACACGTGGATGAATCTTAACCGTTTGATGAGTTGATCTTGAACGATTTTACACTAAGCACATTATTACGTAATTACTATTTAGAATCTTTCTTGGGATATATTTTGTAGGGCGTATATGATTGCATTTGATTAGGACATCCTTAATTATTCTTTCTAGGCTTACTTTTATAAAAATTAAAATAAAGTTCCAAATATTTAAAATGAAATTGAATAATTTAATAGTTCTCATATAATTATTATAAAATTTAAAACCCAAATATTATAATTAAACTACTAGTTTGAAAATATCCGCCATGGCATAAATTGAACCTTCTTGACATTCCTGCAATTCAATAATTTTTTCTTCCCGTATTTCTTATAGTTTCTCAAACTAAACTCATTAAAAATAATCGTGTTTTATTCGTGTTGTTAGCCTTACAATGAAATTAGCATGAATCCTTTTTTTGACTCAAAAATATTAATATATGTTTTTTTTTTTTTTTTTTGGTAAAATGTTAAATATTAATATATGTTATTTTGACTATATAGTTTTTTGATAATATTAATATAGCTAAGTTTGTTTTTCTCCGTAAGATTATTCGCCGGAACCTTCCAATTATGCATATCACATCCACATGATTCAATTATTCATCCCACAATAAAAGCGTAGCCCTCTTGTATATAAATATTCCATACCACCAACACCAATTAAATAAAGTATACAATGCACCTTTTATACTTATTTGTTTAAAACTCACATACTGTATATAGAGAACGAAATGTGTATCTAGACTACAATACTCGTTTGTAATTTGAAGATATAAATAAATATGCATATATAATAGAACACCGCTTTGTACTATTTGACATAGCAATATAACCACTTTTTACTTCTTTTGTACTTTGTATCAAAACATTATAGTTTACAGATTAAATTGATTGTTTAAAACAAAATACGTACATTATGTTTTTATGGGAATACATAAGATTTTGTGTGGTATCCATTAGTTGATATGAGAGCCATGTTATTTTGTTTATAAAATATCTGATTCTAGATCTATGATAAATGGTATACTTTTTTCGTGGATGAAAATCCGTTTGTTGTGAGATAAGCAGTCCCGGAGATAAGAACAGAATGATAGGTAGATTTGTGATGATCTGATATATGATGTTAATGAAGATGATGTGATAGCTTAACGATATCAATTTCGTATGGAAGGAAACGAAGAAGAAGATAAAGTTATCATTTTGTTTTGGTAAAACTAAAGTTATATTTTTCATCCGAAAAAAAAAACGCTTGTAGAAGATACCTCATAAACCAGATTAAAAACTTGAAGAGGAATCTTCCGTGGCCGGAAAAATCATATACATGGAAACTATGATTATAATAATAACAAAATTGTATTTGCATTTTCTTGGACAAAAATTGTATTTGCATTTATATTTTATATTCTAAGGGAATTGAGAGGGGATATGCGTGGCATCAAAATCAAAAAGAGGAAAGTAGAATAACATCACCATAAATTCCAAAACCAAAATTTAAATTAGTGAGAAGAAGGAAAACATGGAAATGCTGAAAGGACAAGTTACATCCAATAAAATTTAGAGGCGAAAACATCTTAAACCCTACTGTTGTTCCTTGATTTGTCTACATCCCTCTCTTTTACCACCTTTTCTCCTTTTGTTCCTATCCCAAAAACCCTGCATGAGTTTTCAAATCAGCAAAGTCCCAAATTTGTGTTAACTTTGTTGGGTCACGTTGTCTTATATATCACATCAGTTTGATGTGTGTGTGTTTTTTTTTTTGTAAAACAATCTGATATGTTTAATAATGCGTATCTAGCTACTTTATCTGATCATATATATATACGGATCACTATGGAATTCACATGATAAGAGTAAGCAGTGAATGTATGATATGAATTCTAGACTGAAAGTACATGACTACAAAAAACGCACACACACACACATATGGATTGTATATGAAACTTTAATGAGACTGAACTAATGCATGCAACCAAATCTATGTATGAATAGTCACAAGAATATATGAATTTATGGAGACAACCTTTTTATTGTTCAAGATGGAGACCACATTTATGTGTGTAATAATCAATATGTATATTTATACATTTACGTTTGTATGTTAAATGCATCCTATCGAAATAAATGACTTATTATCAAAGGTATATATGTGCTGCATCTTAACTTGCTAGATAAGAACGTGTGAGGACCATAACAAGGCCACAACTCTAAACATTATACCACACAATAATCATTTGATTTATTTTTCCCCTTTTGTTTATAAGTTTTCTCATTTAAATTAGTTGTTGGAGTATACTTCTCGCATTTAAAGAGTGCAGCCAACTGACATGCATGCATGCAGTTAAAACGACAAAACCAAATGCTAAGTTAACATTGACTAAACGGTATATTGTGATCTTATGTGAAAGCTACTACTCTTGAGACTCAAACACACACTTTACGTCAACACTTGCTCTACAGTTTACACACAAGCAGTTATTTATCCTCAGTCTTACATATATATAAAATATAGTGATTTTTGTCATTTTATTTCTTCTGCAAAAAAATGATAGTTTATGTAACTAAAATTCAAACTTCAGAACTAATTATTCTAAACCAGCGTACATACATTATTCCGCTTAGAGCTTCTAAACACAAACCTGATTCACACATAAATTATATGCACTTTTTTGTCATAAAAATTATATGCATTTATTGCTATAATTACTGTCATCTAATTAGTCTCTTGTAGTGATCATTTACTTAAATATATTGTTTGTTTCATATTAAAAGTAAATATGCGAGAATCTGCCACTAGACGCTCATGATATATATTCTAAACGTTGGCATAAATCCTAACAATATAGCCTTGTGGTGGGGCTAACTACAGTACCATTGCTTGAAATGTATATTTTTACTTAATTTATAAAAGTAGTTAATTAATTGACTAATTAAACTCGATTGTGCTAATAATTTTTTTTTGAACTTTTTTTCTTATTCATTATCTCCACGGTTCTTCCGATGGTCCACAGATAATATTTGGACAACAAACCACAGATCATTATGTATACATGTTGATGTATATGTAACTGAAGACTATTTATTTGTTCGGGGAGCTTGATTATTTTATAATGTATTCCTATTAGATTTCTTCTTTATAATCCTCGTAAAATGGTAATCAAATATATTGGGATCTAAAAACATATATTTGGGTGATCCCCAAAACTTTTATCAACGTTGATTAATGGAATCCATAAGATAGGTTAATCGTGGATGAGATAAGCATACTAGTGACTTTGGGGATCCCTTTATTGTTCATACTGACCGGTAAAGTAAGTTATTTTCCATTCTTTGGATTCGATGTTCAAATTACAAGGAAGCGGATGCTTTGGCAAATGTGGGAAAGAGAAGATGTTGATGGTTAGAATACGAAAAACACAGGGAAGGTCAATAACAATGTAGAGTTAAAGTAAATGTGTCACTGTTCCAAACCTATCAAGAGAAAGTAGACACTACCTTTTCTTTCGTGTTACTCTCGTTATTTCATTTTCTCCCTCTTTTCAGAGGTATATTTAATCCACCCCACGATATGAAAAAAATAGTAAGAATAGTTAAGTGCAACAAGTCATAAAGATGAGCACCAACAAGCTACTGTCGAAGTGAAAGTTGAAGCTCTTCTTTAAGCTAACTCGTTATGCCTTCACCTTCGAGTGTACATTCTGAAAGTTAAAAGGATCCTAACCTCATTAATTCTTCTTTATTTATGTGCATGATAATGTTTATTGATGTATTGGGTCAAAATAAAATAAAATCAACCGTCATCATTTTATGATAATGTTTAATGGCAATGACACTCTTGCAATAGGTAGCTTGATCTTCAATTATCATGGCATCAGTTTAGTTAGAAACAGGAGATTAGGTTTATTATTTCTTCTGTAATAAAGGAATCAATGCTTCTCATTTATGTACCTTGTGGTCTACTTAATGAACGAAAACATGTTCTCAGAACACAGCCAAATACATTGCCTTTGTGCAACTAAACAAACCTCTTGGTCTCTTTAGCTCGAGTCTGATTCAAGTTTTACCTGGAAGATGATCAAGAATGGGTTCTCTTGGCCCTTATAATGCATGCATAATTTGAGTTGTGAGTTTAGCGCTAAATCCTACCTTAATAGGATCAAAGAAAGGCAACAAGTAATAATAGATTTTAGATTAAACAAGTCGTTAATATTATGACAAGTCTCCTGGCAAGTCGTTAACAGGTCATTTTAGAGGAGGACTTGTATACACCCTACCCTCCTCAACATCAGCAAGAACCCATTCATATTAATGCTATTGGCAAAGATAGATAGAGTAAGTCCAGCTCCAACCAACAACGCCTCTGCTGCAGCTGCTATAACCATAGCGGTTAAGGGTGCTATTCCGGGGCCACGTGAGAGTCTACTGAGATCAGTTTGCACGCCTTGTCAGCTTCTTTGTAAAGAGAAAGATTGGCTACTCCTTCAGTGATGGCTTTTACGTTCTAAAGACAATAATAGCAGGTGAGGTCAGAGATGGTAATTAGTTAATATTAGCTAATAAGAATCTAAGAGGCAAAATTTATTACCTTCATCCTGAAGCTGTTGATAGCATTCTCGACAGTGAGAGTATCACTAGACGATAGTTTGAGAGAATGATCCTTCCATTCGTCTACAAGCTTTTTAAGAAGAGCAGCGCTAGCTTCAAGATGCTCCTTGTAGAGAACATCCCATAGCTTAAAGCAATCAACGTTTTTTGTCAAAACACTGATGGCGATTGCTGTAGCTTCACTGGCTAGAGCAGGATTTCCTGTAAAACAAGCAAAGGGTGGTAAATTCAAACCGAGAGAGAGAGAGAGAGAGAGAGAGAGAGAGAGAGAAAGAGAGAGAGGTTTCGTTTGTTGCCAATACCTTGTCCACCAGCTAATTCCAAGGAAAAAGTGAATATCTGTTCCAGTGCTTTTGCACAAGTAATAATAACATCTGTATAACTACTATCATCTGTTGCAAGGGCCACTTCCTTCAACAAGGGATAAATTGCCTCAAACCTCTCTGTTGCCTCTACTCTAGCGGATGGAGCAGGGAATGTAAGCCGCACCAAGATCTCAAACGAACGAGGTGGAATCAGCCTCTCTTCATGCTTATTTCTAACAGCTCTGCCTAGGAATATACGCCGAGCTGTCGGACACTGGGACAAAAGCCTGATTAAAAGAAAAAAACAAGATTTTAGACATACAAGCAGAGGAGGGAGGGAGGGAGAAATATTAAAAATGGACTCTCACATCTCAACAAACTGCGGGATGAAACCAAGTGAGTGAGAGCTGTAGCACTCCTCGTTATTAGCGACTAGTGGCAGCAAGTTCCATGCCCACGAATGCAAGGCAGCAGTTAAATCATTTGAGAAGGCCTGTGACCATTTAATTAAAAATATTGAGAAACTTGAACAAAACACGCTCTCTCGGTTACATAAAAAAAAAGGATTTTTATCACAATTAATTAACCTGAGCCATCATCCAAACTAGAACCGGGAGAGTGTCCTCCTGGC